CATTTTCAGGCTGAATTTTGATTCGCTCCAACAAATGTTCAATTCAGCTCAATAAGAGCAGCCTCCTTCTTTAAAGAAAGTTAGGGTTGCAGTTCCTCATCTGTATCGCCTGAGCTCCCTAAGATCAGAGGAATTGTTTACTCCTAACTAATGGACATTTTCGTGCAGAATTCTCAGAGGCTTCTGCTTTAGAAAGTGCAAGGTGAAAGTCAGAGCCTGAAGGCTTTCAAGCCTGAAAGTTTGCTTTCAAACTTCACTTAGTATTAAAAGAGATTATCTCCGAGTGACAGTTTCGTGTATACATGATATTTTTTAAACGATTAGAAGAGAGAAAGGAGATTATGTACCAAACTCCCATTATCATTTCTGGCAAATTTGGCGAGACAGATCCTCTGGCGAGCGCTGCAGTCAGAGCCCTGTTGAGTTTGTGTGAGGAGAAGACCGTGCCTCTGCCGGATTCCTTCTCAAGCCAAGCTTGAGCCCAGTGGCAGAAATCGAGCTTTGGCTGACCTCCTTGGGAGACCGTACTCTCAGGAGCTGTGAGGTGGTGAGCTTCCTGCTGTGGTTTACAGGGGCTGACGACCCCTTGGCTGCCTGGGCTTTCGGCAACTGTTAATTAAGAAAGCAGACTTTTTTTAAAAAAGGAGAATTTCAAAAAACAGAAACATACTTCTTTTTTAACATGCATATTTATGAGAAATTAGACTACAATAAAATTTTAAAGTAAGGGAATGAGATTGAAGAATTATGCTTTTTAAGTGTTAAAGTAAAAACGGAGCTTCCTTTGAAGGAAGGATGAGCCATAAACCTATAAAACCTCACTCTCCAACTCTGCTTGTGCCAGGCTACAGTGCTGCGGCCCGCACTCTAAACCAGACCCTCCCGTGACCATTTTCTGATCAAGGTATGGAATCTTCGCATTTGAAGACCGACCTCAGGGTATGAAACCTATGAATCCAGCAATTTCGAGAAATGGAATTTAAACTCCCCTCTCCTGTCACCTCGCAGCCACAGCCTGGCAGTGTCCTGAAAAGCACAGGATGCTTCCTTGGCAAGTAGGAAGTCCGTGTGGACGCAGTGCAGTGACACAGGAAGTACGTGGCATTAGAGTTTTCCTGAGTTACTGATGGAGAATCGCAGCTTTGTATTGCGACTGATGAAGCCCACTGAGTGAAGTCGGGGATGGCACTGCCTCTGCACGAGGGCCGCTGTGCTGTCTGTATCTGCAGCTCTGTCTGCGCGGGAAGGGTGGCGCCGGGAGGTGGTGCTGGGAGGTGGTGCTGCGTTGTGGCTGCAGTGCTTGATGCTCCCTGGGCACGAGCTGCAAGGGTCCTTCTGCCTTCCTGCAGCCCTTCTGCACAAGGCACTCAGGATGGCTTTGCGTTGTTGAGTGCAGGCCGTGTCACTTCCCTGCCTTCAATCCTCCATTGCTGTCCATCCTCCTCAGGGTGAACCCAGGCTCATGGGAGTGCGCAGAGCAGGGAGCGGAGCGCTGAGGGGCACGCTCTCCTGAGCAGGGCCCTGGTTCTCGGGGCGCAGAGTCGCCTGACTACTCTGTTAGCTCCTTCATTGTTAAGCGCCGGATATCAGTTTCCGCCTCAAGGAAGTGTGGGTTTAAATCCCTGACCCTAAGCTGTTCCATTAAGCGCTCGTTTTGTGAAGGGAGGAAACTGCAGAAAGAACACAGGGAAGAAACACTTAGACCCACTTTGGCAATCGCCACCCAAGAGCTTCGGTTGAATAGAGGTGATAAAAGATGGTCCAGAGACGGCTTGTAAAGGAAGCCACTGCAAACGCAGGACCCGTGGAAACACATCCCTGCACTGCTGGCCGCTCCCTGCTTCTTCCACAGGAAGCCACCAACAGGCTTCACAGGAAGCTTATTCAGTGAGCGCTCAGAGCGCCCTTCAGGACAGGACTGCCCACCCCTCCCACGGGGGCTCTGGCTTCATCTTCCCTGCTTCCGCCCTTCCTCACTTCACTCCAGCCTCTCAGGCGCCTTGATGGCCGCAAAGATGTTGTGATTCTGCCTCTGGGCTTTAGCTCTGGTTGCACTGTTTGTCTAGAAGTGTCCCCAGACATGATTTGTCTCAGTCCCTCCCTTCAACTTCTGTGCTTCTCTAGCACTTTCTCAGTGAGGCCTCCTCCCACTGCCCCAGCTAAAACTGCAGCCCTTCCTCCAGCTTTGCCAGGCAACTTCTTTCCATAGCTCTCTCACCTTCTGACATGCTATCTTATCTACCTGTATGTCTGGTACACTGTCTGTCTTCTCTACAGAAGGTGAACTGCAGGAGGCGTAGGATTTTCATTTTCACTGAAGCGTTCCACATGCCTGCTGCTATCATCTGGCACATGGTTCTCAGATCTGGTTGAATGAAAGGCGTCTTAATATTTGCTCTTCACTACATGATACCGATTTATATTAGTATTATATTGTTAAAATATATAAAAGAGACATAACATTCTCACCAAGGAATGCTTACAGGCTTTTGAAAGAGGTCTCTCTCTTGTTCAGAGTAGACAAAAATGAGGGCACTATTACGAACGCCATGATAAGCCTTATTAGATGATTTGGCGAGATCAGTTTAAACTCTCAATCTTTTCAGCAAGAATTTCCAGTTAAAATTCACCCGAAATTTGGGCACATTTTAAAAATTTGTGTTTTTTTAAATTAACTTTATTGGTACAGTTTAGATTTACATAGTGATCACATCCACCATAGAGAATTTGTACTGTACATGATATGTCTCCAGTCCTCTTTTTTTCCCCCGTTCTCTTCCCCCCCTTCAGACCCTCTTCCCCTCCTTGTTCACAAAGCTTTGTTTCCATTTTATCCTCCCCCCAGTTCCTCTTTCCTTTTGAACAGTTAATTCCTATCTCACAATATCTGTTATGTATTTTGGTTCTTATTTACACTTGCAGTTTCTCATACCAGAGAGACTTTTCTGGGAGATGTTTCGTATTTAAACCATAGCTAATCTTGCATTTTATTCCTTTATCTCCTGGGCTCAAATATTTTGCTTCTTTCTTGGGGAAGCAGACTTCATAGAAGTAGTTACAGCTTCAATAACAGAATTAATTGGAGTATCCCTACAGAATAATATTTAAAAACTGAACAAAATCACTTTGGAAAAGCATCACGGATTGCTAAGTATGGCAGGTGTACAGATTTTCAAAAATTCCCGCAATATGCTCCCACAATGTTTGCAAATCAGTTTACATGAAAAGTAAAATGAATGGAGAGCCCTCTGTGTGCGTGTGTTTAGGTAAAATAGCCAGTCATACTTGTAAGCAAATGCAGTCTTCTGTATGTCTTCAGACACTCAAGTTCCTTACATAAAATGGCATAGTGATTACATGTCATGCATCTGCAGCCTTGTGTTTTAAACCATCTCTGCATTACTTATAATACCTGATACAATGTGGCTGCTGTATAAAGAGTGTACTGCTTATGGCATAATGACAAGGGGAAAAGCTTGTACAGGTTCACTACAGATGCAGCTTTCTCTCAAACATACTCTGTCCACAGCTGGTTGAATCCATGGATATAAAGCCTGTGGATATGGAGTCTAGTTGTGAAGAAGACATATGAGATATTAAAGGACTTGATGCTTTTTGTAAATCTACCAGACGAAGCTGGATTTAGAGAAGGTGCTTATGTGTATGCATTAAACATGCTCAACATTTCCTTCTGTGTCGCTATATTCCAGCTGGGAAATTACCCTAGTACCTGGAGTCTACACTGCCTATTATATATATATATATATTTTTTCTTTTTTTCTTTTTGAGACAAAGTCTCACTACGCAGTTCAGGCTGGCCTTGAGCTGACTTTGTAGCCCTGGCTGGTCTCGAACTTGCAATGATCCTCCTGCCTCAGCCTGCCGAGTGCTTATACTGCCTGTTACCGATGCCACTGTACCTGGACACAGACACTTTCAATGTGGTGGAGGGGAGAGGGGGACAGGACGGAAAGGGCAGCAGGGGAGGTCAAGACAGACAAAGCCACGGATGCCGAGCTTGTGAAGGCCGAGCTCAGGTTGCTGTCTGACACGGGTGCCAGCCCTTCTGTGTGGCCAGGCCACACTGAGCAGAGAGCAGTGGTCTTGGGCTGCGTATGAAGTGGGAAATACAGTTCACGTCTGTCAGTAACAAAACTGCCTTTTTAAAGTATTTTGACTTATTAAGTGATTTTATGAAATAACACAAACAAACCGAAGTTTAATAATTAACTAGGAAAACCTACACATGTGCGTAAGCACAGTAAATGTGTGTTCACACACGTCGGCATGCTGAAATACTACACAGTCTGACCAGAAAGTATGGAGGATGTTTAAATTAAAAAAAGTTATTACAGGCAGAGACACACTGCCCAGTCCTCTCAGAACCCTCCCCTTGTTCTGAGCACTTGCTCCCCCTCCCGCCAGGCACTTTCTGGAGCAGCTCTGGGGTCCTCTTTGTGCCGTCTTTCGTTGCCTGAGCTGACTCGTGGCGTTTCCCTCCTGTGGTCACTTGGACTTGGAGAAGAGCCAGAAGCTGGGCAGTGCCAGGCCTGGTGAGTCAGGTGGACGAGGACGCAGCGTCGTGTTTCCCAGGGCTGCCTTTATTTTGGATGGCGCTCACAGCAACGTTCTCTGTGCAGTATTTTTTTTTTTTTAATCACACCTTGTGAAGACATTCACAGAAGAGGGCATCCAGAAATGCTTCAGGAAGTGGCGAGACAAAACATGAACAACTCAAGGAGCAGAATGAAAGATGATAAGAAGCACAGAGGCAGGTTCTGCGGGAATGAGAGGAGGAAGCAAAAATGGTTGTGGTGCAAGGCGTAGTGCACCAGTGCCCCTGGAGAATGTAGTTATTCTGTATCACACACGTACAGCAATGGAAAGGAAAAAAGAGAAAAATATTTTTTTAGAAGTGGTAAGAATGGTGAGATAAATGTGTTTGAAGCGAAGGGAATGTTTTGAGGGGGATTAATGGCAATGTGTCTTTTACTGTAATAAATTTTAAGTGGACACCACATTTTTTGATCAGGCATAGTATTACTGGTAGTTGTGTATTTTATTCACCAAGTCACATGAGTACCTGATACCCGAGGGCTTTGATTCGACTTTGGAAGGCACAGGTTGCAGTCAGGGACGCCCTGTCCCTCCCCTCCACAGTGTCAGATTGTCACCTATGCAGTCCTTGCTGAAGCACTGCCTGATCAAGCCGTGAAAAATATGACTGAGAATCGCATCAGTGTTAAACAGTGATGATCTCGTAGAGCATTCTGAGCTGTCCGTGGCTGCTGTGGCCCGGGGACCACAGGATGGATACCCCCGGTCTAGAAGGAGAAGGTCAAGGTTAAGGAGAGAGGTGACTGATGGGAGGAACTGTGTTGAGGTGACCATCATAAAGGCGAGCTGAGCCCTGGGCAAGAAGCCATGCGGTAGGGATGGACATAGGAAGATGGAGCTTGAAAAGCCAGAGGACAGTAGTCACTATCCTTGGTCCCTTAGTGCTACAGGACGCGGGGTCCCCTGCTCCACATGGGGCGCTAGTTAGGCAGCATGCTGAGGACGCGGGAGATGGGTTTGGAACCCTTGTTAAGAGAAGCAGGGAAAGGAAGAGACCGCGTGTAAGTGGGACCATCAGTAGGTGGTTTTGAAGTGCAATATTTCATTGATTTGTCAGTTACAGGAAGAAATAGATTTATAGTTATCTCTATGTTACACTCGCAGGGGATTTAGAGTTCTTTCTTTGGCGTAACGTTTATACTCCTTGTTCTCTTGGGGAGGGAGCATTTTTAAAAGACTGAGTCACTCAACATGTGTTTAAATGAAGGTAAAAAGAATAATTCATAAAATCTAGGAAAAGGTATTTTGTCCTCAAAAAAATCCATGAGAAAAAGATTTGAGCAGAGAAATGCTACTGCTGTGAGAGTAGCCTCGGGCTAGACTGTTATTGACTGCAACCTACACAAAGGTATTAATCCAGGATACCTAAAGAAAAAGGGCTTAACCCGAAGGACTAGTTCATGTCAGTCTCCTTGGGACAAACCAAAGGGCAGAGTCCTCCTAGGCATCCTTAGCATGCCCTGCCCGCGACAGAAGGGGTGATGGTCAAGGTGGAGCTTGTGGTGCTCACACAAAATAATTTGAACTCTTTCTCAGCTGGTTTATTTGGAGGAACTTTACATTTGCAATTAGAGTGGCTGCCCTTCAGTGGGAGGAGTGTTTGTATTTGTCAAGGACAGTGAATTACTGGAAACAGAAGAAAAGAAAAGTGTCTGGTTTCTCCTAATCCGCTTGACCTGATGTGCGAAGCAAAGTGAAGTCACCAGTAGCTAAATAAGTACATTTGTGAAATTAGGAGTGTTCATCCTCTTGTCCTGGCAGCGCTGCCCTTTCAGGTTCCTTTCTGGAGGAGAAGCAGCGACACTTGTTGTCTAACCTGGAGCCGCGAGGCACGCTCAGAGAGTCCTGGGCATGGTGAATCTAAGCCACCCAGGCCCTTTTAGGGTGTGGCTTTCACCCAAGAAGACAGCAGGAGGAGGGACAAAAGGGAGCTGAGTCTGCCCTTCTGTGGGGAAAGTAACAGCCTCCCTCACACCCGGCCGACTTCCACTGGGCCTCCCTGGCCGCAGCTGGGTCACGTGGCCTCTTCACTGCGCGGGATCCGAGGCTGCCTGAACACAGTGGGGTTTTCTTGGCAAGGAGAAGTGTGGTGGTCAGGCAGCACACGGCCTTCCCAAGGACATCCTTCAGATCCAGTGTGGAGTGACTGCCTGGCTGCCTTCCAAGCGGCAGCCTCCTGCTTCTGTTTCTGCGTTGGGGTGGGGGGGAGCTGCCTACCTGCAGGCCACGAGTGATGGCTCAAGAGGGCTGCGCCTTCCCTTTCCTAAGGAGAACAGTGCTGTGTCATGAGTCTGCACAGTGAAGACTCCATGACTTGGATGTGCAGAATGCAAATGGCGTGAAAGGACCAGCCCTCCCAGAGCACTTCTCAGTGTGGTACCCTACACTGTGTGCAGGATTGTCTCTGGCAATGTTGGCCACCTTGTTCAGGCCCAGAGGTGCCATCTTCTTTCCAGCCTCCTGCCCGCCCTGCCGTTTTCCCAAACAAATGCAAATGTGAACATGCAGGTGATAACCTGCTGGGGGGGAGTCATTAAGAATAGTGTTCACTACTATTTTCCCTTCTGTTTTTTTCTGTTCGTTTTAGAGGTTGTGTTAGCCTTTGAGCTGACAGAAGACAGGTCCTAATTAAGCTAACAGGCTTTCCTTGGTTTTTCCAGATGAGAATTCTCCAGCCAACTTCTGGGATTCTAAAAACAGGGGTGTGACCGGAACACAAAAAGGACAGATTGTGTGGCGAATCGAGCCTGGGCCCTACTTCATGGAGCGTAAGTACCTGAGTGTGAAATACATGCTTAGCATGAGTATTGCATGAGTATGTGGCAATCCTTAGAATCTTTTCTGAATATTATTTTAAAAGTCCTTTGTTCTTCTTTACATATTTAGGTCATGAATCTCCATGGTGGAAGATATATTGTGTTATAAAATGCTCATTAGAGAACACTCATAGACTCTGAGAAATGTGTATAAACATATATACCATAAAAGTATATGTATATAAATGTATATAAAATAAATTTGTTTTTACATATACTTGTGAATATATGTTATATAAACTATATGGCTATTTTAATACTTTACAAATTATAGATATACTTGTAATTAATGTTTAGTTATATTAATTTGTAATTAATATTTGCAATTAGTATTTAATGGAAGCAGAAAGAACAATTCAAGATTTTGGTCAGTGTAAGGATTTTATTTGCCTACACAGTACTCCCTGATTCCTTTGGCCAGCAGCAGAAGTGTGCATGCTTATACAGTACATAATTAACAGAAATCTCTCATATCTTTTGATTCTGGGCTAAGTGGGGGAGGTCTTTACATTTGCCATTAAGAACATATCAATACTCTATGTTTTATGGAATAGAAAGAAAAGGAATGAAAAATAACTTACTAGGTTATCGTCCACATTTGCAGAATTTTCTTTTCTTCAACTTAGGAAAGCATGGGGCCTTTACATTGTTGAGCTCTGGGGAAGGATGAAGGTTTCTAGATGCAAGGGCTTTAATATAAGACAGAGAGGATGATACTAGTAATTAAGGTTAGCACTTATTAAACCATAAAATATAAAGTATGAGTTAATTAAATGGAAACTTACAGCAAGCATATCCTCATTGAAGCATCTACACCTTCTGTAAAGTAGAGGTTATTTTAAAAGATTAGCATCCAGTACTTTGCATTGGCATTAAAGGTGTCAAATAATTTCTTCCCATCCCTACTGGGCAGTCAGCATCCTGGGCCTTGCCCTGGTCCTGCCTCTGCTTCCAAAGAGGTCCTTCTTTTCATAATCTGATGTTCTCTTTGTAAACCTTGAGTGCGGTGTAGTTTTTAAGGGCAAACAAATGCTTATGATCTAACAAGCCGAGCTGGGAGTGGGTGGGTGTGCAGAACAGCTATGTAATTGTCATCTCCCTCACAATAGCACAGAGCATGGGAAAAGTTTGCCAGGGGGTGGCGAGGTTGGTTTCTGGGAGGTGAGATGATGGGCAGTTTGTTTTGCTTGCCCGTTTCTGCTCTTCTTTCCAGCATTGGCTCAGCCAGTAACCCTGCGTAGCAGGGAACGTAAATGATGAGGGAATGAGGAAGATGGAAAGGGAAATAGCTAGTTTTACTTTTAACGCGATTCTTTCCTCGACCCTGGGTGAGGAATATCGCCAGCCGAGCACGAGGGGCCAGGGAAACCACCTTCCCGTTGGTCCCAAGTGCCACAGACGGCCAGGGTCAGTTGTACCTGCCTGTCGACGAGGGTGTGAGTGCCTGGGAAGTAGCACAGTCAGACACTGTGACCATTCAGGACCTCATAGGAGGGGAAGAACCCATTTACAGCAGATCTCTTTTTTGTGATTGATTTTCTTTCTCACCCAAAGTGTTCAAGACTCATCATGTCCCAGGGATCGGGCTACACCAAACAGTAAATAGAGGGTGCCCGTTTTGTTCTCCGTAGTCTTTCATAGACCGCAGCCACTGGTTCGCTCAGCCATACCTGCTCTTTGTCTTCCTTCCTTCTCTCTCGCCTCTGACCCATTCTCTCCCCATGTGTCGGAAGTGTTTACTGAGCACTTGCGGGCTCTGTTGCAGGTCCTCCCTGCACGCCGGCCGGCGAAGGGCTCAGGAGGAGTGCATGCATTCTGTGCTGCTGGACACTGAAGTGCTTTCCGCATGTCACTTGTAACAGCAAATCACTGCATGGGCAGCGGTCACACGGCGCCATCCTGTTTCCGGTCCTGGCAGGGGAAGTAGCAGTAGGATTGGGAGATGTGGAGCGGCACATGTGGGACCCCACTCTCAGTTGTGGTGCTGCAGGTGCAGCATGACCAAGGACGCGTTCTGAGATGGCTCTTGTTCAGGGGAGAGGAGGTGGCCCTGGCTGTTACTTTTACTCTCAGAGCCCGGCTGTAGACGCCGTGATTCTCTAGTCCCCGCCCCGACAGTGTCGCACTGCCCTTTGGGTGGAGAGCAGGTGCTCGTTGTCCTCCATCCTCGTGCTTTATGTCTGGGTTTGGCTGGACCTGTGGTCCTATCGGGTCTCTGCCAGGCTGGTACTGCCCTTGTGCGCTTGAGCTGAGGAAGGCTGGCGTTTTCAGGCTCCTTGGGCCCTTAGTAAAGAGAAGGCAACTCGAAACAGTATATGAACGACAGCTGGGCTCGCCACTTGGACATCTGAAAAGTATGAGGATTAAAATGTGTTCACTCCTTCTCAGATGGTGACCCCAGAGGAAAAAGGGCCTAAAAATAGGAACCGGGACACTGAAAGTTCCATAAGAGCACACAAGGCAACCATTAAAATCATGTTTTAGAATAAATTGCAGTTAGCTTCATTTTTTAGAGTATTCTGTTTTGGTGAAATAGTGGTGCTAAAGGAAGGAAGGTGTTTGCGTTCCATCCAGCTCCGTGGGTCTACACCTACAAACCTGGAGAAGATCCGTACTCCTTAAGTGAGAACAGGCTGAGAACTGCTGCCTCCCTGGGGCTTGTAGCTGTTTCAGGTGACAGCAAGAGCCTGGTCTTTGGGCAAAAGCACCTGCTGCTTGGAGAGGACTGCATGTTACGCTTTTGTCTAGATGCCCCCCAAAGCCTCATGTGTTTCAGATGGGGCTTTTTCAGAGGCAGGTGCATCTGTGATTGATTCATAGTTCAATGCTAGGGTTAAGGGTGGGTGATTGCTGGATCAGTCCTCTGATTGGATTGGCCCCACCCTAATTCTGGTAGACTGGATAAAATGTGAGGGACAGAGGCTTAAACACATGAGGTTTGGGGGCATCTGGACACAACCCTAACATGCAGTGCTCTCCACGTACCAGGTGGTTTTGCCCAAAGACAGGATCTCTTGTGTTGCTCTTGCTGTCTTATGCCGCCATGAACTGTTGCCCTCTGCCAGTCAATTATGAACTGTGACCTAAATAAATCTTTTCTCCTTAACTTTGGGTGGCCAGTATTTTGTCTCAGTGAAATAAAAGTAAGAAACTAAGACACTGTAGAACTTATTTTTCAGATCAGGGCTTGAGATATAGTTATATGAAAATGTTATGATTAATGAGGATGAGTTGAGATTGCTTTTAAAAATTATTTTATGAACAGGTAATTTGTGAAAGGAATATAATGTCAAAAAGATAGAAAAAGTGAAAGTAAATGTCTTCTCAATTTTGGGCCAGTCTCCCTGCTCCGCTACCAGTTTCTTGTTACCTCTCAGGAAATATTTATCCATATACAAACCAAAAAATATGTTCTCTTTTAGAAAAGCAGTAGTAGAACAACACTTTAAGTGCAGTGTTTGGAAACCCCTTTACTTAAGAGCAGGGTTGAGGTCCCAAGGCCCCTTCTACCCCAAACTCCCTGCACCCAGCTGCAGCTGTGTGCTGGACACATGGTCACCATGTATTGGCCTGGGCAGGGAGTGTCTTCATTTGTATTATGAACATTAATAAGTTCAAAATTTTTACCAGTCTTCAGACAGAGAACTAATATCTAGAATATATAAAGAACTCAGAAAAGTTTGACCCCCTCAAAGTAAAAGACCCAGTCAAAAAATGGGCAACTGAAATGAATAGATCCTTCTCAGAAGAAGCAGTACAGACGGTCACTGAATACATGAAAAAACATTCAGCATTGCTGGCCATTTGATAAGTGCAAATTAAAACAATACTGAGATTCCATCTCCAGAAAGAATGGGCTATCCTCAAGAAATCAAATAGCAACAAATGCCAGAGAGGCTGTGGGGAAAAAAGAACTCGGACACATTCTTAGTGGGATGTAAACTAGTACAGCCACCATGGAAATCAGTATGGAAATTCTTCAGGACACTAAAATTAGAAATCCCATTCTACCTAGCTATTCCCCTTCTAGATATGTTCTCCAAAGAGTGAAAGATATTACAGCAATCTGTGCATAGCCATGCTTACAGCAGCACCACCCACAATAGCTAAATCTTAGAAGCAGCCTATATGTCCATCAGCAGATGAATGGGTAAAGAAAGTATGGTATTTTTGGACAATGGAGTACTACTCTGCTGTAAAGAAGGACACACTTGAGCATAGGGAAAATGGATGCACCTTCAGACCACAGTGTTTAGTAAAATGAATGAGACAAATAAGCATAAATATCATGTGGTTCCCTTATAGGAGAAATCCAAAGTATAAATAAAGAGCAGAACTGGAACACAGAGGCTTCTCTGGCTTGTAAGCATTTAAATAGAGGGAACAAATCTTTATTTTAATAGCCTATAAGCAAAATGTCTGAAATAGTCTTGCAAGGCCCAGAATATACTTCCACATTCAGAAGGGGCCTGAGAGGGGACAATGTGACATGGGTACCGTCTCTTTCTGTCAACCCCAGACCTGCCCTGCTGATGGAGGGTTGTCCTGGATCTACACAGAGACCTCGCCCCTCTGGATTGCCCCTGCCCTCGGAGGTGGCTTGGTTTCCTTGATTGTTGTTTGCAGGAATGCTCTTGTTTTTATAGCCTTGTGGTGGGTGGGTTGTTTGTCCCTGTGACTGGCTCCCGCATCAGGCGGGGAGCAAACCCCGCAGAGTTGCTGTGGTCGTTTCTCCCCTCCCTCTCTGTCCTCCATGGCTGTGCTTGTGAGTAGGGCCCGTGGGCTCCTCCCCGTTGGATATGCTGTGCTTCCCTGTGCCCTTCCTTGCACGTGTTTCTGTGGCATAGAGGCCCACAGCAGCTGGCAGCTGGCAGCGTGAACGCCTGGGCATCTCGTCCCTCCACCCTTGTGAGTCCCTTGTTCCCTAGCTGGGATGCTCAGCTCAATCACCAAAGTGCTGCCCTCGCCCCTGCTCCGAGGGCGCTGTGTAGTAATTCCGGGTGACGTAACTCCAGGTGACTTCCAGACACCCTGACGTGTGAAGAAGAAGGATCCCCCTTGGCATGGAACACCGCTGTATCCTTCCACTTTCAGTGCAGCTCTCGAAATCCTGAGGGGGCAGATGGTGGAGGATGAAGAAATAAAGAGTCAGAATGCAGAAAGCTGAGGCCAGGTGGAGCCTCCTCTCCTGGTGGGGCAGAGAGAACTGCCCAAGGACTTCAGCGCGTGTATTTACACACTGGCGGGTTGGTCATGTGACACCCCTCTGCCTATCGGCTTGTTCACGTGGCTCGCCTCGGTGCCTCTTGTTCCCATTGTTGGCCTTGCTAATTGATGTCTAGTATCAACCGCTCCCCACATATCCTAAGAGGCAGAAATCTTCACTGGTGTCCAGGACACCAGCTTTCCATCCAGGTACAAGAGACCTGTTCTGCATGGGGCCGCTTCCTCTCTCTGGCGACCAGCAGCCAGGCTGTATGTGTGGTTTTGTCACGGGACGGGGTGGAAATCCCCGGCTTGGCCCTAGTGCAGCACAGCTCTGTGGGGTTTCGGCGATCATGCCCACATAGTCTATGTTTTTACGTATTCAAAGTACATTTATGTTAGAGTTTCATGGATTCCATTTTGTCCTGTGGGTAAGAGTGGGTCAGCTGGCAAAGCTGGCCTGGTCATCAGCATCTTCTCACGGGAATAACACTCGAATTCCTTGGTCACTTCTTCTGTTACTTGGCTGACTGGTGACACCTTAGAAAGGAGCAGTTGGCCTCCTCTGGCCTAGCAGTGGGTTAGGAGAGGACACTATAAAAATGCACTTCTCCGTATTGAAAAACGCCCCGCTCACTGCCTGAGTGCTGATTTGATTTATGCTGCACTGCTGCAGGCAGAGTCACAGATGCCGCTCCCGGCATTTGGAGAGTGATGCTAACGAGCTTGAGCCGGGAGTTCAATCACGCATATCACACGCGTCACCGCGCTTTGTTCTGCTCCGGCGGCCCTGCTGCTCATGGCTTGGGTTTGTTCTCGTGGAATACGTACCGTGGGCTGGGTGCAGGGCTTGCTGGGATCTGTACAGCTGTTGCCGTTTCAGAAGTGACCAGAGTTAGCGTTAGTGTTCACGGAAAACGTGTGAAGGCGCGTCCTCAGGAGGCAAAGCAATGATGGAGTGCAGCCGTTGCTCTTCGCCAGCCCGCGGCCGTCCCTGTCTGTCAGACCCCTTCCTTCCCTGATGCCCTCCTAACTCCACCCCACCCTCACTCACCTCCTCCCGGGCTTGGTGTTCTTCCGCCTGGTGCTGCCCTTTCAAGGTCCACTGTCCCGTGTGGTTCCTGGGATTGTCATTTCAGCGGCTAAGCTGTAAAACACCTGCTGGACCTCAGGGAAGCTGTTCCTGGGTTCTCGCCCCGCCTGGCACAGCAGCCGGGGCGCAGCACAAATTCCTCAATTGTGAATTATTGCCCGGTGATCAGTGTACATCGTAGATGGGCTCCATGTTTTACTCCAGGGCAGAAATGTTCTTGAAGTTTCCTATTTGGTTATTGATAAAAGAATGATGATACAGATTATTACAGGAGGATTTTAAAAATTATATCTTTCTTTTAAGATAAACCAAGTACTCCACATGAGGCCATTTGGTGCAGTCAGGAAAGGCAGTGGTTTTCGTCCTCCGGGAAATACCGGGGGCAGCCCACATTAGGATCTGGTGACTCAGCTGAACCAGGAGCTCCCTCCTGTAGCCCAGGGAGGTCCGGCTGGGTTGGCGTGGCCGACTCCAGTGACTCGGACACTCTGCGCATAGAGAAAGCCCGAGGACTCTGTGTTTTATATTAAGCGTGTTTTCGCTTCCCACTCTGTAGCTACTTCCCCAAAACCATAATTGGCATTTGCATTTTTTTGTCAAGCTCAAATGCACAGAACAAATTTCTAAGATGTATGGATTTTCACATGCGCTCAGCTACATCAGTATGTGTCACTGGTTCCCAAATTGAAACCCTGTCTAGTGGCTGCATTGAAATCACATGGATAACTTCAATAATATAATACTTTTAAGCAAAAGTATTCCATTAAGCACTGTTGTAGTTCCATACTTCGTTAGACTGTGTGTTTCCACCGATGGCTGGCATCTGTCTGCAGCACAGGTGTCGGGAGCGAAGGCTTCAGGACTGGAGGGGTGGGTTCAAGTCCCAGCTCTCCTTTGTTGAGTGTTTGACTGCAGTGACCCACACCTCGTCTGTAAAGTCGGGACGGGAGTTTCCGCCTCCTAGGGCTGAGGGGAAGGAAGGTCAAGTGGCAGCACGGCCATGTGACACAGCGCGTCTGCCTGGATGAGTGTCGCTGGTCCCACTGTCACCCTGCACTGACTTTCAGTGTACTGTTTTTGAGCATCATGTTTCAGATCCGTCTGAGATGTCATTAGGAAACTTTAGAAAAATATATAACACCAAACAGGAAGTGGTGTAACCTGTTGCCTGGGGTTGGAAAAGCCGGGGTCATTCATAGAATGTGCGGGATTTCTGCGGCAGGTCCCTGTGCTGATTGTTTTCTCCCATTGATTTGCAGCGGAGATAAAAATCTGCTTTAAATACTACCACGGCCTCAGTGGAGCCCTGCGGGCCACCACGCCCTGCATCACTGTGAAGAACCCGGCTGTGATGGTGAGTGCTGCCCCAGGACCGCACGGGCTGAACTCTGTTTTCTGTGCTGCCCTGACAGAGTGACGGGGGCCAGTAGCGAGGAAACGCACAGCAGCGTGGGCACTGCTGCAGGGAAGGGAGAACGACAGGACTGGCAGCCCTGGGTCTGTGATGCGGGTCAGCGGGCGGCTCCCTGCTGTCAGTCTCCTGGAGCCCTGCTCAGCAGCGCCGCGGGGACCGAACCAGTGCAGAGGTTCTCAGTCTGGTCCAGGTGACCGATTGGTAGGGAAGAGCGGGGTTGTATCTTGGGTGAATTTAATTGACACAGATTCAGGGAGTAGGACAGAAAAGGCAGCCATTTAAGTAGTGGGTGATTCTGCCTCCCTGTAAACTGGAACAGCTTTGCCCGAGACGGTGTGATGCGAGCTATCAGCAAAACGCTGGCCTCGGGAGGCCCTAGGGCTCCGTCCCTCTCAGCGCAGGGCTGGTGTCTCTGCCTGAAGGTACTGCACACACGTTTTGGCAAAACCTGGTCACTCCAGGGAAACCAACTTCTCCAAACCAGTTGTGTTGGGCTTTTGAAAGAAGCATGTCCACTTCTGGCATGGCACTTGCCCAAGGACTCTTTCTTTAGATGTTGTGATTTTTTTTCACCCAATCAACTAACTTTACAAATCCAGCCTTTTCATAGACTAGGGCTCTATTGTACATGGGTAGCTGGATTGAGGTGATTTAGGGAGATTCTTAGAGCCCGAGATATGTACACCTTTGTAGTTTTTATTACTCAGTAAGAAAATGAGGGTCATGCAATGTAGAAAAAAAGTTAACTCTCATAGTAATGTAGAATCCTCAGAACTATGTGTGTGAGAGTGTGTAGGTACACACACGCGTAGATGCTTGCACTTTTGGAAATAGGCAAGTGTCCAAATTGATTTCTTGAAATTCAGAAAGGAAATTGTCTAGACCTAGTCCATGCTCTTTGATTGTGTCTGTGCCTCAGAATCAGTCTTTCCCCTGTGGTCATTTATTCAAACAAATATTCACTGGGTGCATTGTGCCGCCACTAGAGGCGAAGTGGTAAGAGAAACAGCTGTGGCTCTCACTGGTCTGGGGAGAAGAGCGACACCAAGCACATTACTGTATCTGTGGGATTACCCTATGGGGAGAGCAATAGAGCTATGACACGTACTGCAGGATTTGCCCAAGAAGGAGTGTATGAGGGGTGACCTGCAGGGTGAATGGAAGTGGAGTTATAGTTGAGTTCTCACTGTAGCCAGCCCAGTACAGACTATAAGAGAACAGTGTGCATGGCTACATACGACTTCGAAGGGCTCAGGGAGAGAATAACAATTGTTGACCATGAAATCTGCCACTTCACAGCATAAGCCCTGGCATGGTCTTGGCTCTAGTTATTATTCTAAAAAGAGAAGTTACAAAACTAGAAAGTGAAGCTGTTTATAATAAAACCTGTGAAAAGTCGTGGTGTGTGAAATTAGACAAGAACTAACGCTGATTAGCATTTTCTGGATTCAGAGCTTTTGAGACTGGAGCAGCTTTGATAGCCAAGTCCCAGTGAAGGCAGAGGGTGGGTGGTGGTCTGCTGAGCATTGATTTCATTTGTGGATTTTGTACTGAGACCACGACTGAGCCCGGATACAGTTTACAAAGAATTAATTTGCTTCAGACAGATTTTGTGGCACCTTAGCAGCTCCGTAGACAGCACTGGCAATCAGAAAAGAACACTGTGGCTCAAAGGCAGACTGATGGGCTGGTGGTCGGTTGATGGTGGCCAAGTGTGGAATGCTCGGGTCTGTACCAGAAGTGAAGCGTTGTCCTTCTGCAGCACTGTGGTCCCCTCAGCGCAGGACACGCGGTTAGTTACTGTGACTGGTTTACAACACTCGTGTTCACAAAGCTCACTGTACGATCTGAGCACCACCAGACACAGGGAACAGACTCGGAGGGAGCAGCTGAGAAACGCCGTAGGAAGGAAATGAGCTCCTCGAGAATCACCTGCCTCACATATCCTCTTGCAGTGATCAAGGGTTAAAGAATAACTGTATCTTCTTTGTCATTTGTGCTTTGACATCATTGTCATTCACCAGAGCACACAGCAAAGCATGTCTCAGACCCTTGGAACAGGAAGTCCTTCTGCTGCAGGACCAGGTTACAGGCCGGTGCTGCACCACCTTGCATTGTTTTGTGCTTGGTTGACAGCACCACTGCTGGGTTTCCTGGCTGAGTCTATGGAGCGTGTTCATTTAAAAAACCCTCTCTACACACCGAGTGCAGATGTGTTTATTATCACAGTGTCCCTGAATTTAGTGGTAATGTTTGGTCTTCCTTGGCTTTATTCTAACAAGGGATGGAATGTTTTCAGTATTATTTTGCATGAGTTCTTTGAGTGTTATTTCAGATGAACATTTTGGCAGAGAGGGGGTGTAGGACACTGCTGTCACGTGAATTCCTCAAGAATTGTTTTGTATTAGCAGTGGGTTACATTTTAAAAATAAGAATTAGAGGACTTTTTTGTCCCTCCTAGTTTCCTGCACTGTTTTAGATGGGTTTTAAATGAAGGCGGGCTGTGAATCTTTTCTGCCTTGAGTAACTCATGCAGCTTGAGTATTCAGAGTGGGCGCAGGTGTCACGTGCTTGGAGTGACCCCTCTTACTGGGCGCGTGCTCCATCTGAGGTGAGGCCCGGCTCTCGCAGGTCTGCCTGTGCCTGGGCAGGTCGCTGTGTGTCTGCCTCAGCTGTGGCCTGCACTACCTGGCCATCATCTGAGGGTGGGTGGTGGAGAGATGGCGGGATGAGGTGGTCACAGCCATCAGTTGTCTGGCTGATTTGCTGCTGCCCTCCTGCCCTGCTCATCTGGAAGTGAGGGTCAAAGGAGAACAAAACAATGTAGCAACCCACAGGTATCCGCTCAGCTCCAAATCTGTGGTCATGAAGGAGCTGGTTCTACAGATGGGATGAAGGAAAAATACCCAGAAGGTACCCTGAGATGTCACAGATCAAGAAGCAACTAACTGACACAAAAAAAGTGTCTTGATGAAGGTACAGGAATTAGAGAAGGCAGGCGAAATTACTACTTCAAAATTTGAATGCTATCTAGAATTTCTTTTGTAACTTCCCAGCTTTTCATGGGTTAGTGATGCTTCTTATCTCTGGATGGGAGCTTCTTTTTACAGGAGTGTAGGGAGTGCAGCCAAGATAAGGTGGAGGAGGTGTCAGAGGAAACCAGTACTGGATGGTAGTTAAGATAATAGATCATAGTGAGGAGCTATTGCAATAAGGGAAAAGAGACCTTGGTGTAGAATTGGCTGTATTTCAAATATAACACTGGAGAGTGTGGTTGATAGCTAAGGAGCGGAGCTGGGGAGAAGGGGTCAGTGGTGGCAAAGCTATATGTGGGCAGAGGGCAGGGTGATTCTTGCCTAAGAGATTTCTTGCTGCAGGTGGCCAGAGTGATCAGACAGCACCTGGGGGTGGAGGCTGAGGAATCTCACTGATATTGAGGGTGGGGATTCTCTCTAAATGCACAGCAGGGGTTTTGCTGAAACTCACCTCCACCAAGACAGAGGTGGAAGCTCAGGTTTGGTCCCAATTGAGCACAAGGCTGAGAGAGGCGTGGTTAAAGTGTGGTCAAGAAAAGAATGTTTGTAGAGGGTTTAATCTGAACTTCAGAGTTAAAGTGTAATTTCCATTTTCCAACTGTTCAGAATATATTCTGCCTTATGTTTTGTCTTTTCCAGTATTATAGACTTCTTTTTCAGAGGATCACGGTGGTCTCCTTGCCTAGTGTTCCATATATTTTGCACTAATTGTATGTACATTGAGAGAAAGGTCTAAATTTGCTATGCAGTCTATATTACTGGTTTCACGTGAGATGTAATTTACTCAAAAGCTTTTAGGAAAAAGTCATCAGTACAATAGCATCTCAAATTCCTATTGTTGCTAATTATAATAGTGTGTGCTGTGTACCTACAACTCAATAGAACAGAACTCAAAAAGCAGGTGGGACACCCATGTGGACGCTCAATATTTGCTGAGAGAGGGTCATTCTGTACATATGGGTGATCTGATATAAATATACCATTTATTCTAGGTTTCCCCAATAAATCTGAAGAAATTTAAGGTTTGCTTTTTAACTGAAGGGAATGCTTAATGTAACACTAATAATACCAGTGCATTTCTTACATATCAACTATATTCTTATTAAGGAAAAAGGACATATGAATAGCCTGCTTGATATTCATCAGGGGTTTCAAAGCTCTTTATTTTTTAATTTTGGGTAAGGATTAAAGTGAAGTATGATCCTACTCTTGCCTTTGAGGATGCGCGTTGTGCCTCTATTCTGAGATTTAGAAATTTAAAGACGTGCTATGATGTGTTTCGATAAAAAAAAAATTGCTGCTTTTGTGGACACACATGTTCTGCTGGAAAATCAGGCAGCATCGTACTGGCTGGAAATGTCAGGTCTGTGTCTTTCCTCTTCAGATGGGGGCAGAAGGTACAGAAGGCGGCGTGTCCGGAAACCTGCATTCCCGGAAGCTGGTCAGCTTCACGCTCTCAGGTAAGAATGCCTTCGCGTGTGGCACCCAGCCCGAGAGCGCGCGATGTCAAAGGCGGGGATAGTCCAGTAAGGGCAAACCTTCTAGAGCTTTCAATGATACGAACGGCCCACTGGGGCACATGTGCCGTAGGTGTGCCACCACTGGTCTGATAGTCACTCCTTCCTGCACACTCTCATAAGATATATGAACTAGTTCGGGGGTTATCGGTCACCCTTCTGGAAATTCAAGTGTATCTCTTCACTGTGATAAAATTAGATTACTAATATAAATCTGGACATTATTTCTACCAAGTTTTCTGGTGACAAAAGACCATATACCTATGTATAATCATGAAAGCTGTCATGTAGCATGTACTAATTTCACCAAGGAGCATTGATTATTTTAAATAACTTGTGTTTTCTTTAGCTAGAGAAAGGAAAACTTGAAGATTATGGAGGAAAAAAGTTAAAGTATACTCTTCTTTCCTGTGGGGATGTGCACATAAAAATCAGAAAGGGATAAGACTGTTTTTTTTTTGTTTGTTGTCTTCATGTAAGCTTATTGTCCAGGTAAAGCACTGCATTTCAGGCTGAGTTGGGTAAGACTTAAAACTAACAATTTTTTATTAAAGAACTGAATATTAGATTTCATTATGAAAGGGAATTTTTCCCCATAACCTCAGTGTATACTAACAAAACTTTCACAGAAAAAAGTACTTACGTGTGTCCTAGTTGCAGTGTGAAAAATGTTCAATGTATTTCATACCTAGGTCACTAAAAAAATCGAAAGCCACTGTTTAGAACATATGAATCATCTGTCATAAAGTCAAGCATAAACTCAGGAAATCAGTATTTGAATTGCAGTGTTAAAATAGACGACTGTCCTCCAGTGTCTGTGAAGTAAAGTCTGACGGATGTCTGTCACTGGAAGTTGTTTGTTTTCATTTTTTGGTAGATGGCAACAGTTCTGAAATTTATCCTGACTGCAAAAAAATGTGAATGAAAACAGACACTTCCTGGAGGCCTGTCATGTGTGACAAGTGTCCACATGTTGCTGGCCCTTGGGCGTCCGGGCCTGCGTCTGCCTTGTGTGGTCCTCCTCCCCACCCGTAGGGCTGTTTAACCCAGCGCCTGTTTTTCTGCGGCTCTGTGGTGCATTCCAGAGGCATAAACTGGTGGCTTACGCTTCCAATTTGGCCAGTAGCTCTGTCTTGCTCGGAACCCTTAGGATTTTAAACCCATCTAGGCTTATGTACGTGGCATTTGAAAGTGCCGCTGCCTGTGCAGTACTCCCCTCCGCCATGCTTCCTGAACACATTCTGGGCGCTTTGGATCTGCATAGGCTGAGGGCTGCAGGTGCCCAAGTCCCTGGCTTGAATGGGGACCAATGAGCCAGCCCAGGTGCTTGCGAGGTTTGAGTTTGATCACACCGTGCCTTTCTTTCTTCTTTAAATAACAAGTTAAACTTACATATATGGTATACAATAAAATATTTTCACATAGTCTGTGGATTTCTTAGTTCGGAATTACTGCCTCTGTTTTCATTGATCTGTGTCCTTCTAAACACAGCACGGACATAGTGATTTTGTCTTCAGCGGGATTAGTGTCTCATCATGGGGAAAGCTGGAAGGTAAAAACCTGACGCATTTTCCTAAAGGGTAGGAAATAAATTTGGGGGCACAACCAATACTTCTTTAAACACTTCTCCCTACATTCTACTTCTTGTCACAGGGAGGCTGCTACCTAACATGTATTGTATTCCCTACCCTACGTCAGACTTATACAGATACACGGAAATGGTTAGAACTTAGGAAATGAAAGCAACTCGGTAATGTTATTTCTAGAATATTAATCTGGCTGTAGCCTGTTGACAGTGTACGATACTTTTTGTCTGAGACTGTTGAAGCACTGCGTATCACTGAGCTACACCCCAGCTCTGCACAAGGATATTTAACGTTTCATGCTTTTGTGACTCTTGAGTCCTTCATAGGCCTGTTATGTGGGGTGGATATTTATGCACAGTAATATACAGAAAAGGGAGAAGCAAGGGTAGAAATGAAATGGATAAAGGGCACTGAGTGATCAGATTAAAAATAACTGGTAGCTCAGTGTACTTATGAATCAAATGTCTTTTATCTCTCACTACAAAGGGTTTTATATCAGCGTTATCTAATATCCAAAGAAGACATCTTTTATCACAGTGACTTAGTCTTCAGGTGAAGTGCTTTTTGTTCAAGGCTGTGTTTTTTGTGAGTGGCTTAGCTCTGTCAGGCTTTGGAGCTGCCGTATCTGCTTATGTTATTTGTCCCTTACTACAGGGAAGCCCTTATTTGAAAGTAGACTTAATATCTAAAAAATATCATTTTCTCTCTGAGTCTAAAGTAAACATACCCAAGAAAGGCGAGAAAATAAAAGTATAAATTATATTTTCCCCTTAGAGTTACTTTATGCTAAATAAACCCAAGTGAAAATATGCGGCAGTGTTAACTTGACAGTGAAATGCCGGTGCGGGATTTCATAAGGACTCTGTCGTTTATGAAGTGCTGCGAACAGGGGTTGTGAGGACAGTGACATGGCAGCAGTTTTTTCCTGAATGTCTGTCTAGTCCTTCACTCATCTTTCCCTTCTCCTGGTAACTTCCAGATCAAAGATATTACTGTGCTTCATGCAATATTGTTAACGTAAGGTTTTCTTGGGTGAGTATTTCAGCATTTGCTGACATGTGGAATTGTCCCCTCTGCTGCCAGGTGTTGTTGGACAGTTGTGTCTGTTACTGTCTCATGTGTCCAGGCCACAGGTTCTTGTGGGCCATTGGTGATTCTCCTCCAGGGAGCCTGCTCTAGAGAATAGGGTTTTTTGTGGGGAACCATGGACCAACCCTAAGAAAACCTTCTGTTTGGAGGATGGCTTGCATGGGATGACCTTGCGGGGCTCCTGTAGCTTAGGGTCAGAACACAGCATCTGTTCCCCGCGATGATCTCAGTAGTCCAGAAGTTTCCATGTGCAGAATTTCTCTCTAAACCAAAGAGCTCCCTATACTATCCTAGCCACATAAAGTTACCGGTCTCTTCTTCCACAAGTTTTTGAGGTTACTTAGCTCCCAAGTCTGTAGTAACCAAGCTGACTGACAGTCTCAGAAAAGCTTTGGGGACCCAGCAGAGCCAGCTTAGTCCCTGACACTTTTGTATCATTTAGCTGGATTATTTTTTTTAAAAAATCAGTGTCCTCACTAAATGAACTCCAGCTAAGACTTCTAGGAAACAAGGTTGTGAATCTAAAGCAAGTGACGTCAGATTTTTTTTATCCATCAGATATGGATAGGTTACTTTGTAGGCTATGGAAAAGTAACTGCAGAATTATTTGAAGTAGCAGGTAGGATTCACGTTTTACAACCACTTTTGGTGTATTTTTTCCTGCTCAGTATTCATTACACATCTGGAATATATTTGGCATTTAAATGTGGTACAAAGGAACATGGGCTCAGAAGTTTCATGTCCATTTGAACTTAATTCTGACTCATTTCTATGTATATGGACAAGACTTTTTTTTAATGAAAGAGCATGTTTTAAGTAAAGTGCTTGCTAAGGATTTCTCTCAAGGCATTGTATGAAACTTTGTTTGCCAGACCACATTGCAGTGTAAAAAAGATGAAGAGTCCCAGGAAAAGGCAGCGGAGGGTGTGAGGTCAAGGCATGACTTCCCTTGTGCAGCTTGCCAGGAAATGCCTGCTGCCGGGGCTTCTACCAGCCACTGTCCTCAGTCATCATGGTGTGGTGCCCTGCTGCCCGGGCTCTGGACAGTGTGCTCAGAGCTTCCTGCGTGATACTGAGGAACGCGTTACTTTGCACTGCGCATTCTAATCATGGTGTGTGTGTCTTTCCTCCTTCCTCTTCCTCTCCCTCCCTCCTTCTCCTTCACTGTCGCTCCCGCCTTCTCTCTTTCTTTAAAGACCTTCGGGCAGTTGGGCTAAAGAAAGGCATGTTCTTCAACCCTGACCCTTACCTTAAGATGTCCATCCAGCCAGGGAAGAAGAGCAGTTTCCCCACCTGTGCCCATCACGGCCAGGAGAGAAGGTCGACCATCATCAGCAACACCACCAACCCGATCTGGCACCGAGAGGTAAGACAGGCCCAGGTGTCTTCCCTCAACGGGACCTCAGCCGCCTTCTCCTTTTCCTCTGAACTCTGTACCCGAGCTGTTTGCTGGTGTGGTAAGAAGGCCGAGTGCCCCAGGCTTGCTGGGAAGAGTGTGGTGAGAAGGCGCTGTCTCCGTGCCTGTGGGAGGCAGCAGAGGCACTCACCCACGAGCACAGCCTAGGTGTCTGCCAGAGACTCGGCCATCAAAATAAATATCTCGAGAAATGTTTTTAAAACTAAAAACGAATGCAAAAAATTCACAATGAGCTCAATATCAAAATCTTCACTCTATCAAATATCTGAGGCTTACATAGTCAGTGGAAGTGCGGTGCGGAGCCATCATAAAACCTGGGGCCAAAGGAGAACTCAGTCGTGTGATCCTGTGTTGACTTAAAATTTTGATACTTTGTTCTAGCGTGAGCTAAAGGAATTTCTGTCCCTGTGGGCTTTGGCAAACCTTTTGTGGTTCCTGATGTTCCCTGGCAGACCATTGAGGAATTGCCATCATGGGAAGGCAGATTGTGTTGATGGTGGTTCACACTTAATGCTCCATATCAGGGAGGTCAAGCAAAAAATTTTCTCATGGGAACTATGGAAAGTCAAAAGATTAACAAAGAGACATCACGTCATTCTCACCTCATGAACAAAGCTTGGCGTTAGAACATTTCTGGGTTTTACACAATGAGAGCATACCCTAAATCTTTAAGGACAAAGATACACTCTGTGTTGTAGAAATATTCACTTGGCGGGAGAGGGTTCAGGGATCTAAGAGCAGCTGAAGAAAAGATGTGGTTACTTGGTCCTTGTTAGCACAGACCAACTCCCTGCTCAGCTCCTCCGGTTGCCCATGTGGAAGAAGGTGGCCTGTGTTCTTCTGTCTGGTTTTAAAAACCACTTATAACCTCCTAAGAACAAATAATTCCTGAAGGCATACCAGTTAATCTAACGAATGTCAAAGCCAGAAACTGTATCTCTGTGTGAGCTTTAGAAGGTGTATAATGAATAAAGTAATGAAACAAGCTATAACTTTATATTTACATCTGATATTTACAGAGTTCTTGACCACATTACCAGCGCAAGCCTGTCGGGGAGGCAAAAGAGATGAGATTGCCAGCTCTCCGCTTTGGTGGTTAAGAAACTATAGCTTAAAGTGTCATTGTGGCTGGCTACTCAGAGGCAGAGGGGCACAAATTCAGCTTTTGTATTTGAAGCAAGTGCTTTTTTCCCTAGGCATCAGGCTGCCAAGTGGTCTGGCGCTAGGAGAACTTTAATTATTATGACTAAATACCCTTAATGGCGCCTGCCTGTCAGGCTGGCTGGCGTAGTTCCTGCTGAGGTAGCTGCAGGGAGTCTTCCAGGGACACAGCAAAATGATTTGGGCTAGGTTCCTGGCTGTATCATTTATTCATCTCGAGAGCCTCACCTTGAAAATCTTATCTCAGCCGGGGACGTGGCTCAGCGGCACAGCGCCTGCCCAGCAACTGTGAGGTGGTGAGTTCGATTCCCGGTACCAAAAAAAAAAGAAATCTTATCTCAATAAATATGAAATGAATAAGGCTTCTCTTATATTTATTTTTTTCCTTGTTAACATCCAGTCATTTTTTTTTCCCGTGCAAAGAATACAAAGAATGAAGCCTATCTTAATCTCATACTTTTACTTTTTTGTCCCAGAAGAAATGACCTCATGTGTCTTTAAACTTCAGCAATAGCTACATTTAAACATTGTTTATTTATCAAGGAAATCACAATATACTGTAGATGTTCCTACTTCCTAAGTAGAGGAACACTTAACAGTGTTTGGCGACTTTAAAATCCCATGATATTAGGAATATAAATAGTTATTAATCAAATATGCTAGTTAATCCTCAACCATCCTATAACAAGAGATTAGATATCAAAAATTAAGATACAGCTCACACGGTGAGTGCTGACCTTGTGTTGGGCATGATTTGATATTTGGTAGCATCTCCTAGCAAGGACAGGCCACGCAGGGCTGTGTGGTTGGATGAAAGGGCTACTTTGGCCTCACAAAGGTGTAACAGTTGCTTTCTGGTCATTGTGAGCATTAATGTTCTGTCTGAAAATGGGCTTGGTGATGGGTACAGATATTTCTAATAATGTGTATGCTGTGTCACGAGAATTTAAGAGACACCGTTTCCTACAACATAAAATGATGTGATATCATACTTGGTTTTCTGACCTGTTTTTGTTTTCAGAAATACTCCTTTTTTGCGCTCCTAACTGATGTCTTAGAAATTGAAATTAAAGACAAATTTGCCAAGAGCCGTCCCATCATCAAGCGCTTCCTGGGGAAACTAACCATCCCGGTCCAGAGGCTGCTGGAGCGCCAGGCCATTGGGTAATTACCGGCCTCTTCCGGGCCTCATTGTGCAGAGACCGTCGACATGGTGCTTGGTAGTCCTGGGCTTGTTCTGCTGACAAGAAGTGGTAACAAGATCCTTTAAAAATAAAAGTGCCCTTACGGGCCTTCAACTGTCCTAGACCACAAGTTTTAATTACATACCTTGGTCTGATTATATACTTCTTTCCTTGGTATTTTATCTTTTTCTAAGATACAGTAGCATTTCAGCTTCATCTCATAGTGCTAAATTGTTTTGCTGAGTGTATTGAAATCTTGATGTAAAACTCTGTCCCTAGAGCAGAATTTCAATACGGATATTTACCTTATCCTGATTAATTCCACCCAGAGAACCTGCTGTTCTTGAAAAACAGAAACCATCTGATTTGGGAGCCATGAGACCCAGATAAGGAGGTACTGTAGTTAGCTCCAAGGCGTCTATGTTCATTCAGGCATTGACAGAATCTTAAGCTGCTGTTTTCTTTCTGTGAGTTCTTCGTAAGTTGTGGTACAGCCGTTGAGAGATCCTGCCGTACCTCCGACCCTTACTGTGTTGTGTATATTTGTATACAGTGAGACCCAGAAAGCTCAGTACCACAGCACCTGGGGTGGCCCTGAGGGGCAGCTTGTGCACTTTCCTCACCCAGAGAAGTCCAATCCTGGATTGCATGTGTGCTGGAAGGAAGCCCAACATGGATTTGTAAAATATCAGGATTATGAGATCGTTCTCTATAGGTTAAAGCATTGCAGTGGTGCTACAGATTTTCATATCAGTTGCTAGCATACAAATGTGTTTCTGATCAATCATTGTTTTCCATCAAATACTTGATACATCTCAAAGAATGCTGTACTTTGATTACTGATGCATTTGGCAGATAGCAACTCTCTGAAATCCTTGAAGCTGTACAGGGTGTGGCTTTCTAGGACAAGCTAGAGCTCCTTGCCCGTAGCCTATTTTGTGAGCCTTTGTTTAGATGTGACATTTCACAGAGGTGGGCTGTATCCCTTCAGAGAGACACGCCACATTCTGTGCTTTATCAGGTTTTCTGATTGCAAATTGATTGCAGGAGAATGTCTTAGTCAACTAGTGGCATCTTTGTGCTTACTTTTCATAATAATGTCATAATAATGTACGATATATTCTTCATAATGATGTCTCACAGCAGAGGGTGCGGCGAGTCAGGGTGGCGTGGATAGGACAACCTTCACTGACAGGCACTCAGGGAGCGAGGAAACCCTTGACTTTGAATCGATGGAGATTAGGGAGGCTTCCTGTACTGATAGGTGGAATAATTGCACTGAGTCTTGGTTGGTTAAGATTCTTTCTTCCAGGTGAAGGGTCTGTATTGGTCACTTTCCTGTCACTGGAACAAAATCCCCAACACCTACAACTTAAAGGACTTTATTTGGCTCCTTTTCTGATGGGTTTAGTCCATGGTCACCTGGCTCCAAGGCAGAAATGGCACGGTAGAAGAGCCCAGAAGGAGACCACTGCTCATTTCATGGCAGCCAGAGAGAGAAGGGAGGAGCCAGGGACAAAAACGCACCCTTTTAGGTCACAGCCCAGTGACCTAGCTTCAGTCATGCCTTACCTCGTAATAGCACATTCAGCTATGAACTCATCCGTGGAAGAATCATTGATCAGCAGAGTGCCTGACCCATGGTCCCATGAGTCTCAATTGCATAAGGCTTTACAGGGACATTTTAGATCTAAACCATAATATTCCGTCCCAGCCCCCGCAAAGGCTCATGCACATCTCATTATGTTTGCTTTTTTTTTTTGCTTCCGGTAGTAGGGATCAAACTCACAACCTTGCACTTGCTAGGCAGGCACTGTGCCACTGAGCTAAATCCCCAGCCCTCACATCTCATTATGTAAAGTGCATTTAGCCCATTTCTAAGACATGACAACATAGCTCGAGCATTGCTGAAAAGTCCTAGTTGAAACTGTTAGCTGTGAGTCCCTGTAAAAATCAAAAGGAAAGATAAATACTTCCAACATACAATAATGACACAGGGTAAACCCTCATGTTCCAAGAGGAAGAGATGGCAGATAGAAAGAATGGGACCAGAGCAAGAGTGAAACCCAGCAGGGCAAGCATTAAATCTTGTAGCTGCATGTCCAGCACCTGGAGCAGGTTGTGGTGAAAGGTGAGCTCCCAAGGGCTGGGTGGTCCTGCCCCTATAGCACTGTCGTTTAACCCTCATGGCCTCTCTCCTAGGCTGGTTGTGTTCACTGCCTGTGACTTCAATCAGCAGATGATCCCCATTCTTAGCATCTCAAACTTCCTGGGGTCTCCATTGCATCTTTGGCTTCATTCCCACAGCTTCATACACTTCCCTCTCTGTACACTGCCGGGCCTCCAAGGCCTTCCTTTGAAACCTAGGTGGGAGCCTCTCTGGCCCCATAACTCTTATATTCTGCATACCTGTACAACCAGCACTACATGGATGATGCCAAGGTCTGCTGTTGGCTCAATCAGTAGCCAGGCCCCCTTGGATCATGACTGTAGTAGCCTCTGAAAGCTTGGATGGCTGAGGTCAGGGAAGCACTTCCCTAGGTGGCCCTGAATCTTCTGGGCTGGGATCTCTTCTCAAAGCAAAATGTTTCAGAGATGTTTACCTTTGATGTCCTCCTGAAGCCCCTGGATACGTGAACCAAATTAAACCTCCTCTCCTTTAAATTGTGAGTGTCACATATTTTGTCACAGTAACAGGAGATCTGATTGATAGAGGTCCCCTCACATATTCCATCAAAAAAGTATACATTAGGAAAAGAAAAACTTACATAAATACTTTAATACTAAATTTTTATTGAGACATTATGAGATACAAATTACCTTTGGCCTCTACAACTATAAGAGTTGCTCAAAGTGGTGGCCAGTAGCATCCAGACACTTACTAGTACAGTGAACTGCTGAGGTGGGTATACTTTTTTTGCAGACTCTGATATATATATATCTTACTGAATATACTACTAAAGCTCTAGCACTGTGCTGGGTGTTGAGAGGAGATAGTGACCAAACAACTGGATATTTTTGGTAGCCCTTTTCTTACAATTCTTGGGAAATACTTAACGCCTTGCTAAAATCCATTGCTTATATAAATCATCATTAACCCTCACACTTAGTTTGGTTACCCAAGGAAGAAAAGGGGGAGAGTCAATCTGTTTTGATCCAGAAAATAATGAGCTTATTATTAAAGGACTGAGTATCCAAAGAGATAGGTGAAGAGCAACACAAGTTGGGTGCAGATCTGTTTAATTTGCTGCTGGGCGGAGCCCACCTGTGTGTCAGGCACACATGCCAGGAGTGCAGCGAGGCGCGAAGAGGTCAGCCCTGCTGTGGTGCAGGTCACAGCCACCCTGTGGTGTCCACATGCGCTGATGTGGATGATTCAGCAGGCCTGTGAGGGGGGAGTTACGCACACCCATGTCCCTTTACAGAGGGTTCTCTACAGCATGAGTTTCAGTAGAACTGTTGATAGTAACCGTGGTAAGATGGCTCAGTGAGGGTGTCACCAGGCTGTGTGCTCCAGGAAGGCTGTCGGGTGGTGTCTGTGGGCAGAGCTGGTTTCTGTGTCATCTGAGCCTCTGTCCAGTCCCAGGTCCGTCCCTTAGTTTGCTCCTCGAGGACACGCAGTCTGCCACGGGGACTAGAGGAGGTGGTGATGCAGAGTCCTCAGAGCATGCGTGCCGTGCCCTAAGCATCACCCAAAAAAATCATCACCACACCCTGTCTGGGAAAGAAAGAAAACTGGGGAATTCTTGCTGTCGTGTTGGAAGAGCTTGTAAGAGCCAAGCTGGATTTGGGCTTAGTAGCAGACTGCAGTGTTAGTGCTGAGGAGATGGAGAACCAAAGCAGGTTACGCAGGAGACTGCTGATAGCTGACTACCTGGCGGTTGGGCAGAGGTGTGGTGCTGTCCTGGAGCAGCCAGCAGAGGGCAGTGTGAGAGCAGAGACTGCTCTCTCAGTGTGAGCTGATACTGTGTCTTTGATCATTTCCCTTAAGGTAAATCCATTTGATTCAGAATGAGAATTGTTTGCATTCAAGGAAAGGAAGCCGTTGCATTTGACTTTGAAATAGACATGGGTGGGACATGCTGGGCGGTTCCGTCCTTGGGGAAGCTGCCAGCCCAAGCCTGGGACCAGGGCCGGACAGAGACGGGCAGGTCTAGTTGTGGTGGGACGCAGGCCACCAAACTGTGGCTCCTCTGGCTTCTCCAGCCTGCGTGTCAGCGTCACTCCAAAGCTGTGAGAGGCAGGCTCCCCGGCAGGGCCGAGGTGCACCCTCTGTGAGGGGAGGGAGAAGAGGTGAGTCCCCCCCACCCCGACACCCCCGGCTGGGGCTGCTGGCTGCCTGTGGCCGGTGTCTGTGTTTCCTGCTGATCATTTCCCTCGCAGCAGCTTTCCTGTCACCCCTGGCTTTCCAGGTGCTCACCTGGGCCAGTGAGTACTTACTGATGTGCCTTGAGCCTGTATTTTCTGTACTCCCAAGTCTGTGAATCTCACAGGAACTGGGAGGCCTGGGGTGGCCGTGGGAAGAAGCCGCAGCTGGAGAATGTGTGAGGAGGGTGACCGACCCCTGTCTCCTCCGGCAGAGATCAGATGCTGAGCTACAACCTGGGCAGGAGGCTCCCGGCCGACCACGTGAGCGGGTACCTGCAGTTTAAGGTGGAAGTCACGTCCTCCGTGCACGAGGGTGAGTGCCTCCTTGGCGGTTCATGTGGGAACAGAGTTGAGTGTGTGTCCCAGCCTAGGAATAAGATGTTTTCCGATGATTACCTGTGGCCACTTTTGAGACAGATAGGCGAGCCTGTTTATGAAAAGCTGTCTCATGGGGCTGTGCCTGCATTTTGAAACTGGCTGCAGAATTTCCGCTGATAGCCGACATTTATACCTCCTATGCCGACCTGACTGGCACCGTGCCCGTTAGTGGGGCTTAGCAAGCCAATACCACCAGCAGGCGCTTCTGCGGGAGGCTACACTCTGGACCGACAGGCTGCCTGGCAGTTGGTCATTAGAAGTTCACTCGATATTTCTTTTTTTTATTTTAATTTTTCTTTTTGAGATACGGTCTTGCTGTGTAGTTCAGGCTGGCCTTGAACTTCCTGTGTAGCCTGGGCTGGCCTGGAACTCACAGGGATCCTCTTGCCTCAGCCTCCTGAGTGCTGCAATTACAGGTATGTGCCATCACACCCAGCTATTGTAATTTTTTATGTGTGCACATCTGCAGTAAGTAATGATACATGTATGATGAGCAGTTGGCCCCTATATGTAATACAGCTTAAACTGCTATGTCCCCTCCCCTCCTTCCAGTCCTCCCCCGGCCCTTGGTCTCTTTCCATTTGCAGAAGGTCTCTCCTCATGTCTTCTCATCTACCTTTTATTTGGCTCCTTAATTTAATTATACTTTGGGTTTCTTACAGAAGAGAAACTGAACAATTTTAAGCTTGTCTCTCTGATTTGTGCCCCTTAACACTCTGGTCTCAAGAGAACGAGGGCGCATTGCGCTGTGGCAGAGAAGGATCGCTTTGAGTCACCTGCAGGCAGACGGATCTCTCAGTATTTCTGGTCCACTTTTACCCATGGTGCTTTCTCCTGCAGATGCGTCTCCGGAGGCTGTCGGCACGATCCTGGGAGTCGGTACCGTGAACGGGGACCTGGGAAGCCCCTCTGATGATGAGGACCTGCCCGGCAGCCACCAGGACAGCCCGGGTTGTGCTAACGGGGCCGTGTCTGAGGACAGCACTGCGGATGGGACGCCTAAGCACTCCTTCAGGACTAGCTCCACCCTGGAGATGGACGCGGAGGAGCTGACCTCCACTTCTTCCAGGACCTCCCCACCCAGGGGCCGCCAGGACTCGCTCAATGACTACTTAGATGCTCTGGAGCACAACGGCCCCTCCCGGCCGGGGGTTTCAGCCTCGGCCGAGCGGCCCATGGGCGCCTCTCCGAAACTCAGGAGCAGCTTTCCCACTGACACTAGGCTCAGCGCCATGCTGCATATCGACTCGGATGAGGAAGACCATGAGCTCCAGCAGGACCTCGGGTACCCATCCTCCTTGGAGGAGGAGGGAGGGCTGATCATGTTTGGTAGGGCGTCCAGGGCTGAGGAGGGGAGCCTAACCTCTCAGACCAAGCCAGAGGACGCCAATCCAGTGGACCTGGAGGAGCACTCCATGCACGAGGCTGCGTCCTATGAGGACAAGCCGGAGGATCTTCCTGAGCTGGCTAACGGCCCCTCAGGCCCAGCCCCAGAGGATAGTGAAGCTGCCGGCCCAGAGTCCCAGCCTGGGGCGGAGCAGGGCAGCACCGAGCTGTGCAGCTCCCAGGAGGCCGAGCAGCCCGCAAGCGGGGCGGACACGGGCACCCCGGACACGTCTGGGGGCAGCCGGAGGGCCATCAGTGAGACCGAGTCCCTGGACCAGGGCTCTGAGCCCTCGCAGGTGTCCTCAGAGACCGAGCCCAGTGACCCGGCCAGGACAGAGAGTGTGAGCGAGGCCAGCACCAGGCCCGAGGGTGAGAGCGACCTGGAGGGTGCAGACAGCTCCTGCAACGAGAGTGTGGCCACACAGCTGTCCTCGGTGGACACGCGCTGCTCCTCGCTGGAGAGCGCGCGCTTCCCGGAGACCCCAGCCTTCTCCTCACAGGAGGACGAGGACGGGGCCTGTGCTGCCACCGAGCCCCCCAGCCTTGGCCCAGGCCCAGAGGCCGCATGCACCCCGGGAACACTGCCAGCTGTGCAGGTTCCCGGCACGCGGGAGGACGTGGGCCCCGAGCCTGAGGAGCTGGGCGAGGTCTGGCAGCGCAGGGCGGGCCTGGAGGGGGCTGCGGCCGCGGAGAGCCGGGCACCAGGAGAGGAGGAGGCTGGGGAGGATGCTGGAGCCTGCGAAGGGGCCACCGCGAGCGAGGAGGGCGCCACGGGAGGTAGGCTGCGCCCTGGGCAGGAGGGAAGCTGTGCCCCAGTGGGAGGGCGCCGTGAGGCCCGGAGGCCCGGCAGGGCAGGGGGGGAGGGAGAGCAGGTGAATGTGGGCCCTGAAGCCTTCTCCTGCTAGGTCAGAGCTGGGGACCACACAGACTGCAGAGGGGGGCCTGACGTGCAGGCAGACCTCGGTTCAAGCCAACACTTTTCCAAAGGGGCCTTCTCTGGATGGGTAAGAGGCTGGGCACACCGCAGCCTGCAGACCCACATAACGATCGGGGTGTCCAGGGGGGAAACCACACAGGGCAGCAGCGGGGCCCTCAGTGGGGCCTGCAGAGGTTATCAGGGACGCTGAGTCACCCCCCGTCAGAGTGTGCTTGCACACCTCTCTGTATTCTCTGAGGTGAGAAAGGTAAGCTCAGGCAGGTGATGCGTTGTGAGCTGTCCAGGGGCCTTGGGGAGTGACCTGTCCAGCATCTGAAGATGTAGATACACAGAGCGTGTTGGATTGGACCTCCGCAGATGTGCTTTCTAGAACAAGTCCTTTACGATGCTGTGTGAGCTCGGCATTCACATGCCAAAGGGTCATCGCATGTGCTTCAGACAGAAGTAGGGAGGATTTTCTCATCCTGTAACTCGTGGTTCCAGCCTCAGTTTCCCCTTCTTTTCCTCTTCCTCCTGTTTTGTTCTCGTGGCCCTCATTACCTTGCGGCTGCTCTGAGCAGGGAGGCGTGGGGAGGCGCATGCTGGGTGCGGGACGCAGGACGTTCTCCCTGAGGCCCCTCCGGAACCCGCGGCTACTGTCTGTCCTCTCCTTGTGTTTCCGGGCCTCGGATGGCAACTGAGACTCGTGGCTGCAGAGGGAGCGGCCTCCAAGGATGCTCGGCGCTCTTGTCATAAGACCGCGCTGTCGCTGAGTGACCCGCGGGTAACTTCGCCTTTGATCCTAGGTTCTCCAGCCAACGGCCACCAGCCCCTGCGGTCACTGCCCTCGGTGCGCCAGGACGTCAGCCGGTACCAGAGGGTGGACGAGGCTCTCCCGCCAAGTGAGCAGCTGTTAATGAAGGGCCGCCGAGTCCCAGGGTTCGGGGTGGCGGGTGGGCCGTCCCCGGGTCCTGGGGAGGAGGAGGACTTGGCGTCTGGAGGATGCGAGGCCCCTAGCTCCGCACGGGCGCTGTTCTGCCCAGCAAAAGTCAGTGCGGAGCGGAAGCCCTGGCTGCCGTCCTGGACGCACATCCGGGAAGTGCGGGCAGGCGGGTGTGTGAGAGAATGGTTAGAAGTTACCCTCAGGGCAGGCGGACTGTAGGCGCCTAGGAGAGCGCGCCGTGTACACGCTGCTCGGGCTTCCCGTCACCGTGTGCGGTCGTGAAGCAGGAGAGTCATGCGTTTCAGGAATCAGCCTAGCGGGGCGGGCGCCTGACACTCCTCTGGGGATTTGAAAGAAGCGTCCCTTCTTCCCGAACACGCTTAGCCCACGAAACCGAGAAAACAGTCACACCGCCAGGATTCACAGGGACCTGGACACAGTCTCTCTGTTTAAATACCAGAAGCCCACAGAGAAGCGTGGCCCTAGCAGAGCAGTGCAGGCGGTGAGCAGCGTGTGGCTCGGGAGACGGCGCTGTGGGGAGGCGTTGGAAGGCCAGCCCTTGCGCTCTGCTGCTCCTTTTCCACCTTCCTCTCTGCTCCTCCTTTTCCAAGGGGCGCTGGGGCTGGGCCTGTGGCCCTGTGTGTATGAGGTGTGGGCGTAAGGCGCAGAGCGCTTGCCTTTCTAGGGCAGAAATGCTGCGAGTGCATTTTGGTGAGGACGGGGCAAGAGCCGGCGTACTGTGTGGTCTCTCAGCCTCTGAGTGGATCCTCCCCACGCTGCGCTGTGCACGGACCCTCCCTTCGTTCCTCACCGGGTAACAGGGCTGATACTTTTGAAGCAGTGTTTTTTAAGAAATATATAACAAGAGCTGGATTAGCCGTATGCCATCTGGAGCCGGTGGAAGGGAGGGGGAGACGCGTCCTCGTGGTTTAGCTTTGGAGAAGAACTTAGAGTCAGGGAAGAGGGACCCCTGGGAGACCTCAGGTATAACGGGAACAGCACGAACAGGGACAGCGGGAGAGGGTGCTGGAGAGCGTCGTGCTTCACCTCTGTGAGGACCAGCACTGGCCAGCTGAGTAGCACCCCGGGGGCTGCCCGGGGAGGCTCGGCATCGCATGGCGCCTCAATGAGCGGCATTCTCCTGGTCACACCCAACTGCCCTAGTGTGTGTTGACCCTCATTTTGGTCCGCAAGTGGAAGTCAGTAGAGACGGGCACTTCCTCGCTGAATTTGTGACCACTGCTTGTGGCCACCCCACATCGTTGCTGCAGTGGTGCCAACTTGGTGAAGCAGGTAAAATCTACCGTAGCGCTTTTATATTAACAATTGCTAGTTCCCGTTAGTCGGTCAGTGTAAGCCAGAGTAAAAGCAATTTACGGCTTTATCCTATTTGAGGAGCGAATGGTGAGCAGGTGGGGAAACTCTCTTTTTTTTGTTTGTTTTTTTCTCCAGTACCGGGAACCGAACTCATGACCTTGCACTTGCCAGGCAGGCACTTTGCTGCTGAGCTAAATCCCCAGCCTCTGGGTGGGGAAACTCTGAGATGGTGCAGCCTGGTTCCCTCTGATACGGTGACTTCCAACATGGCGGCCGGTCCCCCACAGGTCGTGGAGTGTGAGGGCTGCTCTGATCGCAGCAGTGTTTGAAAGGAGGCCCTGGTGTTAGTGGTTGGGGACAGGGATTCTAAATTCCTGCAGTGACGGGACAGTCTCAGCGACAAAGAATTGTCCCACCCCAAGTTCTAATAGTGTCCCCTCTGAGAAGTGTACCTCTGTACTTAAGTTAACATTCGATAAAAATGACATCACATTATTTCTAGATGCTGAAGACTCAGAACTAAAGTGTCTCCCTCTACAAGTGAGGTTAAACACACACACGCCCATGCACGCACACACACACACACACACACACACACACACACAGACAGCAGCACCATCTCCCCCTTCTGCAGCCCAGGTAAGGGCGCCTGGTTAGAGGGAGCGGACTGGTCAGTCTCTTAAACAGTCTGGCTGCATCATTTTGAGGCTGACAGCTCTGCTTTTCAAAACACTGTTTATTAGGATAACTCAAGTTCGTCTGCAAGCTTTCCATTTTGTTGCTGCTTTAATAACAGATCAAGCAGGTCTTACCTGAAATTTGTACTGACTGAAGAAGTCAGCTGATGGCAAGCCCAGCTACACAAAGGAACGTCCTGAAGAGTCCATGCTAGTAAGAGCAGAGGCAGAGTCTCAGACATCCCCTCCTGTGCCGTCAGGTGGCCCTGTCTGGGATCGGAAGGGGAGGCCTGTGGAGTGGCTGGCGGCTGTGAATCCTGGCTGTTGGGTGGAGGTGGAGGGGTGACGTGTCAGCCTGTTGGGCTCCAGCAACACCTCACACTCACAGGGCTTGGGCTTCACGGAGCGTCATTAGATTGTCATGCTACGAGGTCCAGCCAGGGAAGCTTAAACGTGCTCAGCTGCCCTCCTGGGACGCACACGCACAAGGACCCTCCGGGCAGCTGTGTGGCCGTGTCGACCCAGCCACGTTTGCGCTGTGCAGCGCCTGTGTCACACGGAGCGGCACCTTTTCCTTCCCGTGTGGCCACTGTCCCCATCCCTAGGACAAGCTCCTGCAGCAGGACTTCGGGCTGCAGTGTCCCCCAAACCTGGCTTATCCCCCCACCATCGTGGTTGTTGTTTTCAGCTTATTTTCACCTTATAAACGATTTGAGTGTCAGCATTTGGTGAGGAAACCGTCTGGGAAAAGTATGCTTCTCTTTGATGATCTTTTTTTTCTGTGTTGGGAACTAAACCCAGAGCCCCTCATTCAGCTGCCTCCCCAGCCCTTCATTTGTGCATGTGTGTGCATGTGTGTGCGTGCGCATGTGTGTACTTATGTGTTTTGAGACCAGGTCTCACTAAGTCACTAAGTTGCCCAGGCTGGGCTCAAGCTTACAGTCTTCCTGCCTCAGCCTCCCAGAGCACTGGGATAACATAGTTGTGCCCTTTGCAGATTTGAAAACCCAACTGAGAGTATTCAGGGTGGCTCCTGCTGCGTTGCTTCAGCCCTATAGCTGATCACGTAGTAGTCTGCACATTGGGGAACAATGTAATCTCTGAACAGCCCTTTGAGCTCTTCTGATGAAAAGCAGAGGTTCTCCTGTCCCCTCTTCCTGTCAGCCCTCCTAGCTCAGGACTGGGGACAGAGCTTGGCCTCGGTAGTGACTGCTCTGCTGTGGTGTGATTTGTTACTTGATTCTCAAAATCCTCCTCTTGCCACAAACCTACACGGTGACCCTGTGGGCCAGGGACCTCCAGCAACCATTGAGGTGTCCTGACGAGTCACAGTTCTTGGAGGAGGCGCTGCTGAGAGCGTCCAGGAAAGCAGCTTGGGCTTGGGTATGCGCCAGCAGGCAGGGGTGGGCCACCTCTTCTGCCTGAGGTCACGGGCAGTGCAGCCAGCCAGAGGCAGGGCAGGGCTGAGGCCCGCTGGAACATCGTCACGCGATGGCTATACCTCAGTGGCGTGAGGACAAGTGAGAAGAGAACAGGCAGGCTGGCACTCTGGAAAAGCAGACTATCCGTGTATTTACACACTGGAGTAAATATGGAATTGCTGTGGAAGTGTTTTCTCCCCAAGGGGTAGTTTTCCTGGGACTAGGACTTGATCAAGAGGCGCAGACTGGATTAGTGGACTCCAGCGGCTGCCAAGCTGCTAAGAGCTATGCAGTGATGACTGTTCTGGGATGACCCAGGGAGACATTTACCGTTGTTTGCAGTTGGGCACTTTCGTGAGTAAGGCGTCCTCCACATGAAGGCCTGAAAGTAGACCAGGAACCTGAACAGTCTGAGTAATCTTAGAGTTTCTATGCTAGTTAGAACTTGGAGCTTAAAATTGTGTTTTCAGGAAAACTGATACTTTCAATCTAAAAAGCTATTATCTTAAAAGTTGAATAACAGGGAGCAAAATATGCAGCAAGTTGAACATTTTAAACATTTTCTTCAAATAAAATACAGCAGAAAAAAGCATGTTCAGCCTGCTGATCTCGTCCCAGACCATCCTCAGTAGCAGCCTGGACACTCTTGAGGCCCCGGGCTGTCCCCCACTGCCACTCGTCCTGGGAAGGGACTTACTGTCCCGGCTCCCCAAGGCACACATTTTTGTACTCTATGCAAATGGAAGCCAGACGTGGTGGCGCATTTTAGAGTTGCTCTTTATGGGGGATTCAGGAATGACATCAGGGTGGGAATACGGCATTTGACAGGGAGAGGCATACTATACATTCAACCTCCCGTGTTCTTCCAAAGCAAGTTTCTCTCTAGCTTCTCATTCTCCCTGTTGAACATAGAAATGTCTTTATCGACTTGTGACTTACGATTATTTGTGGCCTTTGTGGAAGGTGGATACAGGAACTATTATTTTTATAGCATTATGTCATTTTAAATCTTCTTTCATTTATTACGTGCCCCGTGCAGCGCACCATGGTGAAGATGTTTGAGGCTTCTCCCAGTCCCCCATTTTGCCTCCGTCCAGCCATCGACAGGGCCACATGCTCATGTCATTAGGCAAGTCCCATTCAGTTAGTCCCAAGAAAAAGTTATAGCTTTGAAGGTTTTTTTAACTTTCTTTTGTCAAGAAATGGAAAGTATGCAACAGCGTGTTTTCTTTTCTGCCTTCACTGCCAGCAAATTGAGAACCACACATTAGTAATAAGTTTTCCTTGGAAGGTTGGCAGCATTTCTTCCTGCTTCCTGTAGTTGATCTCTGCTCTTTGTCTTTTTTTTTTTAATCTCTAATTGACCTATTTTGCATTTTTAAAATTGAGAGCTACTATAAACGTTCTTGGAGGGACGCCGTTTGCTCTCATTTGCATTTGGTTTGACACAGTCTTTGCTTGAGTTGTCCTGGCCGTCACGAGACAGGAACGAGACGGAAGCAATTGGCCCTGAAGGCTCTGAGACGGGAAGGTGTAGTAGGAGCAAAGCGATGGGATAGACCAAAGGCTTTCCTGTGCTTAGTGTTTGTCACTGCCCCCCAGGCTGAGCATTCGGCCTCTCGGAAATGTCCCATTGGCGGTATTGGAGCTGTGCCCCAAAAGTGTGCCATTTGCCATCCATCACAGTGAGCTGAGACGGACAGAATATCGACTTCCAGTCCTAGCAGAGGCGACTGGGTCTTCCCTAGCTGGGGCCTGTGTTGGGACCTTGGCTCTGTCCCCTGTGGTGTTGATGCTGGGGATGTCCCACTGCACCCCCTCCTCCTGGGTCCGGGATTCAACCGTGGATCTGTGCAGAAGCCAGCGGACAGGGCAGCAAAGAGAGGCCAGAGGGAGCGAACTGCTCCGGAGAAGCCTGGCTGATTTAGAATAGCAACACACAGAAATGTAAATACGTACACTGCTGGGCAGGGAATAGATCTTCGCTGTTCTTGTGTTTCCTGTGTCAGTTACCCTTCCCAGCTGCGGTAGGTGCCCGTGAATTCGCCCTTTGAGAAGAGCTTGTGCTCTGTGGGCTTAAGTAGGGGAGCGACCTCCTGCACCATCATGGGGAGAGGTGTCTGCTGTTTTTGGGCTGAACACACACATATACATGTATATGTACAGAGACGGATGCAGTTAATGTGATTGAGTCACATACAATTATATCATTTTTAATATTTTTTTTGTTGTGTTGTTTTGAGACAGGGTCTTGCTATGTAGTTTAGAATGGCCTTGAACTCACCATGTAGCCCAGGCAGGTCTTGAACTCCTGCTGATCCTCCTGCCTCAGCCTCCCAAGTGCTGGAATACAGGGTGTGCCACCACACCTGGCAATAATATTTTTGAGTCTTGTATCTGTGTGAGATTAGAAGGAAGAAACTGTCCTTGGTCTGGAAGTGTCTGCATTTTGGGAAAGCGCCGATTGAAGCATGTAGGTGAAGGTACTGGCTGGTCACTAGGTTAGCAGTAGTTACCCCTTTCTTCTGAAGACTAAATGTACTACAATTGTGAGTAAATACTGTATATACATGGAAGTTTCCAGCTGTGTTTCCCCTAAACTAGGATAAACAGAGAAGAATCAGGTTTGGGTGAAAATAAGTGTCATGTCAATTTTGATGGGAATACCGAAGTTATTAAGATACCAACTGCGTGTATTTTGGAGATAGCTTCCCAGCACTCCTGTGTGAATGGTGAGTGTTGTGGGCGGGTTTGGAAAGGTTCTCTGCACTTAGAGAGCTTTTAGGAGATTGACACGGTACCACGGGATGGGCTTCATACCCAGGAGTGGCAGTTTCCAGAGGCCTGGGGAGAAGGGCCGGCTTGTGCAGGGGTCATCGGCAGGGTCCCTGTGTGTGTGTCGTCAGCCCCGCATTACTGCATGGCGGGGACAGCGGGTGCTGAGGCTGCTCAGCCTCATGAGTCCCTGCCCCTCTTCACCCTTCCTGTCCCTCACTGTCCTGTAGACTGGGAGGCGCGCATCGACAGCCACGGCAGGATCTTCTACGTGGACCACGTGAATAGGACCACGACGTGGCAGCGGCCCACGGCCCCGCCGGCCCCACAGGTGCTGCAGAGGTCCAACTCCATCCAGCAGATGGAGCAGCTGAACCGGCGGTGAGGGCCTCGCTGCTCTGTGTTCGGGTGGGGTGCTCGCATGGCCCACGTGGGGCTCGGCTGTCTCTGGATGTCCTGTCATTGCGCTGTGGCTGTTCCCCTGGAGTCATAGACTTCACTGAGCTTCTCCGGGTTAAAAAGATACCCACACAGGCCCAGCTTGTTTGGGAGTCAGAGCGGGAATAAATAGCGAAGACCCCTTGAGCTGGCCCTAGGCGATGGTTTTCAGTAGAGCAGATCTATAATTTGAAGCCAAGTCTCTGAGCTCTACCATCTTTCTTTCTGATGCATCTTTATTATCAGCTGAGGCTTTTTCAATCGGCCATTCTTTTTCTTTTCATGAATTTCTGTGGAACATAAACTACTTCTTCCTTTGTTTAGCTTTCATTGGTTAAGGGCCCTGACTTTTTATAAGGCTTATTAACCTGTGAGGAAGGTGTTGCACAAACAACCGACAGAAACGGTAAATGCAGTTTACCAAGAGGACAGACGGCCCATGAGCTCGGGGAATGGGGATGGGAGGAGGCAGCTGAGCCCGAGGAGGTGGGGACGCCTCTGGGTTTGCGGGGGCAGAAGCCCCGTCCTGGGAGCTGCTGGAACGTAACCCAGGCTCCTTCTCTCAGTTACCAGAGCATCCGCAGAACCATGACCAACGAGAGGCCGGAGGAAAACACCAGTGCTATGGATGGGGCGGGGGAGGAAGCAGACTTTCACCAAACCAGCGCAGGTAAGAGCTTGGGCTTGCTTTGCCTTTGTGACCTCCTGAAAGTAGAGAAGAAAGAGTAAGGAGAACGCTTGATCTTCTCCAAGATCTGCCGGTCCAGCCCAAAGGCTGGAGTCTCTTCAAAGCCTTGACCTTTTATCCGTACTAAGAAAAGACTCACAGAACCACCTAGAATATAAGTTGCCATCATCTCTGAATCTGTGGAGTAGTGCAGAAAGAATCCAGTCGTTTCACAGAATAACCTAAATGTTAAAATAGGGACAAGAAGTGTTACTCAGTCTCAATTCTTAATTAAGGAGAGTTGGGTTTTACGTACAGATTTACAGCAAAGAGGAAGTATCTGGGGGATGGAAACAGTGACAGATGCCGCCGGTGCTGGTTGGTTCCCTCGAAGCGTGGGCCGCGGGGAGCGGGGCACCCCTGACCTCCTGTGCTCTGCCCGCAGACTTCCGCCGGGAGAGCGTCCTGCCGCACTCTACCTCCAGATCCAGGCTCACGCTGCTGTTACAGTCGCCCCCCGTGAAGTTCCTCATCAGCCCAGAGTTCTTCACCGTGCTGCATTCTAACCCCGTGAGTAGCACGTCTTTAACAGCCGAGGGCGCAGAGCGGGACAGACAGCGTCCCCCTCACTCATGTCATGAAGCGTGACCGCGGCCTGTCCGTGCCACACCCTGTGTACAGCGCCGTTACGTTCTAACTGGCTTCGTCCAGACGAATGGTCGCAGTCCGTTGCACTGCTCTGACACCGGCATCAGCCAAGACAAAAACCCTAACGCTGAGTGGTTTATAAGCAACGCAGACTCAGTTCTCACTGGCCTACAGGATGGCAGCCCCAGGCCTGAGTACAGCCAAGTTTGAGACAGGCGAACGACCTCTTGCGGTTTGTAAGCGGCCCCTCTGCTGCCCCGCCCATGGCAGAAGGGGCGAGGGGCTTTCTCAGGCAGGTTCCCTGTGATGCCCTGCACAGCCCAATGCCGTCACCCTGGTGATAGTGCCTTTCTGGGGACACACGCTCGGTCCACAGGGGGAGGGGCATTCCACAGGCCCAGGGCCGCTGAGCGGCTTGCTGAAGACACCAGTGAGGGGGAGGCTGTACTCAGGCACGGTGAGGGCGGCACTGCCCGAGGTACAGCACGAGTGAGCGGGAGACCGGATGGAGGACGGGAGAAGGAAGAGGAGTCAGCCAGGGCTGAGAGGGCGAGCCGCTTGGTGGGTGCTTAGCCAGGAGAGGCGGAGGGCGGCCCGAGTGTCCGTGACCACACTTGATAGTAAGCGCTGCGTGATGAGCACAGGGAAGTGGCCTGAGGGATTCGTGAGAGGCGTGGGGAGGGAACAGGTGGAATTGGACAGGCACAGGGTACACCTTAGGGGAAGCAGCCAGGCCACAGGGAGGAGAAGGAGCCGGCGGAGTTGTCAGCGAGGTCTGCAGTGTGCACTCACTCACCGACGCTCACACACGGCCCACCCACTTCCGGAGCTCTGCTCAGGGGAGCTAAACCTCTTCCTGAATCCGCTCACCATCGCCTCCTGGTGTGCAGGCTTAGCTGTGAACAAAGGGGCGGGGGGTCTCAAGGTGCCCAGACCTGCCTTGCGTTCACCTTAGCAGCGTGGTGGGCTCTGTGAGGCACTGGCTAAGTCCTGGAGACAGAGACGACTGCAGCAGCGAGCCCGGAGCCCAAACGTGAAGACACGCTCCAGGGCCCGAGCCGGCGTTAGGAATCGGAATGGAAAGCTCCGGATGCTGCACCGCTGGAGTAGGGGCTCGACTCCCAAGGGAGGCCGCTCAGAACGGGGTGGAGGTGGGTTTGCATCTGAGGCAGGTTTTAAAGGCTGAGTAAGAGCTCGTCTTAGAAACGAGGGGGCAAGAGCATGCGGGTCAGTGGTGGTGAACCTACAGCACGCGTCCACATGGGCTGTTTGTATCACTGAAAGCACTAAAAGCTTGGTCATCACTGAGTAGGTGAGAGAAGCAGCACTTGCAAAACACAGGTGAAGCCGCAGGGCGTCTCAATCGTCCTGACAGAGGCCCCGGCACGGGCCGAGCCGCGCAGAAGTAAGCCGAGCTGCTGTGCTGGGAGCACCTCGCACCCGGGCAGGTCCGACTTGAGGCTGGAGTGGTGGGGACAAGCCAGTTACACACACCTGAGCTTGGGTGTGTGACATGTCCAGGAGATGACAGTTGTCGCTAAACACAAAAGAGCGTGCCATTGTGGGAAGAGTTTCGGACTTGGAGGCAGACGGCATGAGCTCCCCCGTGTGTGTTTGTTTTCATTTATCTGTGCATTCAGCCAGTCTTTCAGTTTCTGTGGTTAACCCGGAGTGTCTAGGCTCAGGGGAGAGCATGGTAGACAACACAGAGGGATGCCGGGGAAGACGTGAGTGAGTGAGAAGAGCCCTCCAGATACCACAGTGTGGTCCGGGAGGACCGGGCGACGAGGGCCAGGCTGGGAGGGCTGTGTTTCGGATGAGGTGGGCCGGCGGCCTCCCCGGTGAGTGACCACACTGAAGCCATTGCACAGTGTCAGGGAGCGGGAAGGGCAGAGGCTGGAGCCTTTGCTGAGGAGACGCTCCAGCTCAAGGGCAGGACGGAGGGTGATGTGGTCCGGTGAGGGCGGAGAGCCAAGCACGGGGGCAGAATGCAGGCCTCTGCGCTGGCAAGGACCTTGGGTTTTATTTTGAGTGGAGTTTATTCCAAAAGCCTTTCCTTCCTGGGAGTGACTTACATTTCTACATTTGTCCCAGCTGCTAGGCAGAGAATGAGTTTTAGGGGAGAGGACTGGCTCCAGGGTGGGGGAGGCCTGGACATCAGAGGGTATGGACCAGTGTGGTGTCTGGAGCGGTGGAGAGCCGGGTGACTTAGCGGAGGGTTCTGGAGGGAGAGCTGCATCCTGGTGGATCAGAATGTGGGGATGAGAAAAAGGCCTGAAGAAGACCAAACTGATTGGGCAGCAGCATTCAGGGGTTTGCTGGTGCAACGGTACCTCGGTGCACGAACTTAATTTGTTCTATAATTTTGGAAAAGAAAAGATGCCTGAGGGTGTTTGTCATCCGATGTGGAGTTCGTAAACAGAAGCAAAATTTTACCAAATTCCTTTGTTCACAAACTGAGTGTCTTTCTCAGAATCATGGGACGAATTAAGTTCATGAAGCGAGGTACCACTGTAACAGCAGACTGTTGTACGCGCGGATGCTTTTGTTGATGTGTGCCACGTGTGTGTCAGTAGTTGACCGACAGCAGTGATTTGTGAGCAGAGCTCTGGCAAGCGTGAAGGAGCAGGATCCCAGTGAAACCAGGCACAGTGAGATGCCGTCAGAACCCCGCACTCTGGTTGCAGAGGCCAGCCCGCTGTGGCCTGAGCCGGGTGCCTGCGTCTCATATGGGGTCTCATGGCTTTGTTTCTAGCGCTGAGCCTTCACTTTGGCACAGCTTACTCTGAAGTGTAATTTGTATGACAAGCGGTTAATTTTTTCCATTAAGTCTAGAAAAAGGCAGCCAGTTTTTTTCTGTAAAGGGTGAGAGAGCAAATAATTTAGGCTTTGGGGCCAGGGACAGTGTGTAAGCATGTGGGCCTGGCTGTGTACTGGTGACGCTTTGTAGATGCAAGTCAACAGTTGGCCCATGGTCTGAACAATAAAGGAAGCCTCCAATTGAGTGTGCAATTTCTGCGGTGTGAGTACCCTTGCTGGGGCCACCTCAAGCTGCTGTGACATCACGGGGCCCTGACAGCTCTGCCTGGCTGCCTCTGTGGCCCATGTCCCTCCCTGATGTGCGGCTTCAAGCAGAGATAGGGTTGGGGCTGAGACCCACTGGCTTGGTCTACAGCTGTAGTTTAACACGGGCGACTTAAGTAAATGCGTATTTTTGGCTCCTTGGAGATTCTGGTTAAGTAGATCTAGAGTAGGTCCCAACAGTCTTTTTTTAGATCCCTTAAGTAATTGTGGCGCAGTGAGTCAGGACCTGTAATTTAGGAGCTCTCTGCCTTTGTCTCAGCTGTGAGCTGTCTGGACGTCTGGTGGTTACTACCAGTGTAAGTCCTAGGCAGCTCGCAGGTCTTCTTGCTGTTGTGCTTCTCTTTTCTATACTTGGAAATGATATCAAAATGCCTTTTTCTGTACAACCTGTCTTGATTTTAAAGTATTCTTTCTAGAGCATTTCAATTTTTTCCTTCCTCTGTCCAGCTATTGGCCAAAAAGATGATCCACGCATACACTCTTGCATTTCTATAAGACTTAAGAAGGCTCGTTTCTCGGAATTGTATGTGGCAAAATTAAAGTAGTTGGATTTTTCTTGCTAAAGGTCTCAGAGGTACAAATTGATAGCACAAGTTGAACAATTTATTCCTTGCTGGAGTTTCTTACAAAACAAACTTTTATTTGATCTTCCTATCTTGATTGTTTTGTGTAGTATTTTACTTGAATTTTTATAAGACTTTCAGTAAATTCCTTGTTTACATTATTGAGAATATTTAACATAGAAAAGGAATATTCTAATTTGAAGGCTTTCCTAATTCTCTTTCGATTTGAAGAAAGTAACTTATGTTGAAAGATAGCCATGAAAAATAGATAGCAGGTAGCAATAATTTACGTAATTGTGTTTTCTGAAACAAAGTTAAGTAGGCCTCTGGCTGTCCTAACTTGAAAAACAAAATGTTGATGTTTTTCTGTGTCATGGACCTCTTTTAAATGTATTCTACTGCCCACTGCTGGCTGTTTTCAGATTTCTACCAAAATTGCCTCGATAAACTATTTCTCCTGTTGACTCAAAACTTAATTAATATTAAAAAAGACTAAGAAGATGGGAATATGTGTTACCGGGAGGGGGAAATGATCCAGATGTGTTACAGGTATGTATGAACAAATATCCCAAAATGAAACCCACGGTTCTGTAGAACTAATATGCACTAAAAAAGAAAAATACTAATTTGTGCCATGTCTTTTATAGTTAGTATACCTTTTAACACATTAATAAATTTAGTTATATGTAACTGAATAACGTTTCCAGCACGCATGCCAGGTAATTACTCCTCTGGCTCTTAATGAGCTCTTAAAAATATATTCATTCCATCACTTGAAGTCCTGAGTACTTAACAAAGGAAAACATAATTTTAAAAACTCATAAGTGTATTCTTACAAGTCCAGAAGTACTGCTTTATGCAAAATGGATGAGCTGATAGTGTAGCCATTTCCATGAACAAGTTTAAATTTCCCTCCATTTTACCCTGAAGCTAGATGAAGACAATGTAAAATCCTTCCTGTATAAGACCGGATTTGTATTTCCAGAGTCCAGCAGAAATCTGGAAACAACATTTCTTGTTTTGTTTTTTTTGTTTTTATTTTTCTTCCGGTGCCAGGAGTCAAACTCACAACTTTGCACTTGCCAGGCAGGCGCTTTGCCACTGAGCTAAATCCCCAGCCCCAACATTTCTTGATTTTGTTTACAGTAGATTTTCTTTAGTGAGTGGGGGATCCAAGCGTGCCAGTCTGCTCCCTATAAATGCAGGGGTACAGTCAGCGGTGTACAGTCAGCGGTGCTGGTTTCTAAGCAGAGCTTGGTATGCCTTGTCTGATGAAGGATCTTTTAAATAGGAGAAAGGTTATTCATCAGTAACATACCTAACCTTGTTACTGGCAAGAACAGACCTGGGTGAGAGCAGGGCTAGGGCAAGTAAACCAGGAGATTTGGTCACCAAAGCCCCGAAGGAAATTTGCCAAAGAAAGGAGGACTGACTCTCACCCACATTGTGGTTGTTTGGTAAGAAGTGACTACATACAGTTTCCTTTTCTGCTGCTCAGCCCCGCAGTAACATTCCCCTCAAACTCCTCAGTGTTCTTCCCTGCTCAGACTCCAGGCAGAGAACCAGACGCATGCGCTGCAGTTCTGAGCGGTTTACTTTGTAGCGCGATTCCACTAAAGAAAAGCAGCGGCCTCAGCCTCTGAATATTTCTTGCTAGGCAGGTGGATAACAAGAGGGAGGCAAGAGAGGGGACTTCGGGAAGAGAAGTATCTAAAGCGGATGTGTTAAATCACAGCAGAGGAAAACAAAGCTTTCTGCCCTCCAGAGAATCCAGTGGGCTTTGTCTGCTGCTCACGTTCGCCTCCCACCGAGCTACCTGCAGGTCCCCACGCGGCCTGCCCTGTCCACCAGTCACTCCCCGCGTCCCGGGGATGGCTCTTAGGCAGGAGGCGCCCTTTGCTCTTTCCTAACCTGCCTTTGTGTCAGATTTTTAAAAATCAGATCCATTTGCTTCATCCTTTTCTAAAAGACAAACAAGCCAACCAACACAGAAAAGGTCTTAATCTGATTAGGACAGCTAACCTCCAGCCGAGGAGGTAAAGACACCCCTTTTCTCCTAGCCTGGCACTTTGCCAACTCGATTCCATGCGGACTGAATACCCGCAGCTGCCGGTCCGCCTGCTTCCTGTCCTGAGCGCTGCTGTGTGCCCGCATTCCCGCCACGCTGGCCTCTGTTTCCGACTCTGCCTTCTGTCCCGAGCCACTCCCCACCCAGCCCTGTCATTTTCCTTCTCCGTCCTCTGAGTGACCAGTCCCTGTCCTCAGGTGTAGACAGGGGTTAGCACTGAGGTAATGAGGGTTAGGAGCCCCCGCTGCAGGTGATGCGGGCTGGGATGCAGATGAATGATTTCAAAGACTGAAAGGAACAAGCAGTGTTAGTACTGTCCTCCGTCATTGTGGGTGTGGTAGGCCCAACCTTCCGTTTATTCTTTCAGTTACCTATAGCCTGTGCTTTTCTAGTGGTTTCTACTTCTTCCAAGCACTCTTACATCCTTTGCTTTATTGTATTTGAATCTCACATGGCTACAGAAAAGCAGGGGGATTATCATTACCCCATCTTGCAATTGAGCAAATTAAGGCAAAGCAAAACTGATTGGCTGGCTTTGTCCCTGTGCGTGAGTGATAGGAGGAGTGCAGGAGTTCTGTATGGACCAGAGTTTATCATACGCTCTTTGAATTCTACCTCTGTGTCTCTACATTATGTGTGTATCTATGCACAGGTAGTATGGACACTGTGTGATACGTAGATGTTTGTATGTTCGTTATAGGAAGGTGGCAGTCTGGAAGGATGTGCCTGTTTGCCGGGAGTGTTTTATGTAGACCCCCCCAGTCCTGAGCCCCTGCTCAGATTTGAAAGCATTGTGATTCTAAAGGTCCTTTGCTACTTACTAATGAGAGACTCTTTCTCTCCTTCACTTGCTTTGTTAGACTGCTTTCTGCTGAGATCCTTTGCGCTCGGTGCTCTTTCCCGTGTCTCCTCGCCTGGGGAGGAGGTGAAAGGATAGAATTAATTATGAGGCCAACTGAGAGTCTCTTGCTTGAAGAAAGGCAGCCAATCATGGGCTCCATGTGACGTCACATGTGATGGTTCTGGAACTTGATTGCTGCAGCTCCTCGCCTCACGGAGTTCTGCCTTTTTCTCTGGCAGGCCTGGGAGCACTCATGGTGCCCTGGATGAGGAGCCTCGGCATGGCCTGTGTACTTATCAGATAGGAGATGGAGGCAGAGAAGGGACTGAGATACATGACTTAGAACGACAGTCAATGTCATGCTTATCTACCAGAATGTCCCCCCATGCGTCCCCAGAGAGACTTACGAGAGAGTAAGGCACGAAGCTGTTTCCATCACCCCACAGAGAGAGAGTCCCCCTCTTTTCATGGCAGCACTGCCCCATCCTGCCATGCTCTCCGACAGCCAGGGCCCTGGGCCACGTGGTTGCCCTCTACCGTGAGGACGCACTGTCATTTAGATGGGCACGAGGAGATGCAGCCGGAAGGGTTCTAACTTAGGTAGGGCAAGGCACGGAGAGCTGAGGGTGGTTCAGAGTGACTGACTCCCTTCCTTCTCCCTCCCGCCCTTCCTTTGCTTCCATAGGGGAAAGTATTTTAAAGCAAAGCAAATATCATATCACGATAGTGAGTTAACCGAAACACTGCAGGTTCTTCAGAAACATCAACCAACAGGGTCAGTGGTGTCAGCGAATGAAGACATGTTTCTCATTGCAAATCGTGTCATTTGTGGTCACTCGGGGTCCCAGGGCCCCGGGCTGGGAAGCAGCTGCCGTTTCTGACCTTGCCAGCGCTGCGCTTGCGGGGACGGGGATGGCGGCTCTAGAGGGCTCGTATGGCAGTGACTGCGCCGAGCTGGGTGTGACACAGCTGAGGCCCAGGGAGATGGGAGCAGGTCACACTCATCTATATTTTGTCTCCAATAACTGACAGTGCTTAGCACAGCAGAGACGGTGAGTGTTTATTAGATGGAAATGATTTCCAGGGACTCTGGTACCTTTGGGATTTGCTTGGGGCTTAGACTGAAAACATAACAAAACCCGGAAGGGAAGCTTGCAAGGCCCCAGCCGTGGTCACGTATCCTGAGGTACTGAAGGTAAGAAGCAGCCATGGCCTTTGGACTCCGTTTGGAAAGCATGGAGACCAGGGTGGTCATTTACTGCCTAGTACACTCCTGGATGTCATATCCCCAATGACTCAAGGACAGCTCCCTACAGCCATTCCCGTTCTACTGCTTAGTACTTGGTATTATGCAGCGAACACTTGTTGACTGACTGATATACGCACAACCTGTGGTTAAGGATCAACTTTGGAATTTTCTTTAAGTATCATAGATGAAATCTACAGAATTCTGGACAAAACAGTCATTTCTCTGTGGTGCAGTACAGTGGAGCTTTACTCAAGTTGCACTTCAAGTACTATATATAAATTTAGATACACACACACACACACACACAGACAGGGAGACAGAGAAAGACAGAGATAGGCAGACAGACAGAGAGAGAGACACACAGAGTCCAGCCAATTTGACCTGCTTTTCCATTCACTGAGTTCATCCTCTAAGAAAAGCCCAGTCTGCGGCGGTCTCATTGAGGGTGAGTGTCCAAGCCACCCACCTCATTTCGTGTGCCTCTATATTTAGATGTATGGCAAGCACCCCACGGCTTGGTCCCCAGACATGTGTGCCCCGAGTCTCCTGGTGCATAAGACAGCACCTGGCACCATGCTGGAGGAAAACAGTTTGTATTTTCTTGCTGTGGGGTGCACAGACCCTCACCTTGGTGTATTTCAATTGTGTGTTTTTTGCTAAAACTACTTTTAGGATCTAACGTCCCTGTGGAAGAAGATACCACAGCATTCTTGTCCTTTGGATAACAGAACACCAACTGTGTAAAAGACCTGAGCTTCAGTAGTTATCTGTATGTGGTTTCACTTGAGGTCCCCTGCTCTGTCTGCCTTCCTGGTGTGTGGGTCTAGGGCTAAGGTGCAGCCCAAGTCTGTGTTTCCCGTCTCTGCCAAGTCCCTGGCGGTAGCCGTGGCGGTGTTCCTGGGTATAGACGTGGCTGCCCAGCAGGTTAACACTGGTTCTCTGTCCTCTCCCCAGAGTGCCTACCGCATGTTTACAAACAACACGTGTTTGAAGCACATGATCACCAAAGTCCGTCGGGACACGCACCACTTCGAACGCTACCAGCATAACCGGGACCTTGTGGGCTTCCTCAACATGTTTGCCAACAGGCAGCTGGAGCTGCCGAGGGGCTGGGAGATGAAACACGACCATCAGGGCAAGGTAACAGGGGCAGCTACCTGGGGAGCTGCGCGCCGCCGCGGGGCTGCTGGGGCCTCGGGGATTCCGCCCTGCCTCGCCTGCAGGGCTTTTAGGAGGCAGGGCGCAGCGGGCGTGGAGTGGTGGGCATTTGGCAAAGCACTTATTTCCCTCGGAGTTCTTACCCCTACCGTCCCCCACCGTGTCCCTCCTGCTGCTCTCATGCAGCAGCCCTGCTTCTTCCGGACTTCACAGCTTGCCTTGTGGGTATTTGATGGAGAGCTGTGGTATTATCTGGAGAGGGAGTCCCAGAGCAAGCCTCTGCACATGACACCCTCTGGATCTGGCCTCAGGGCCTTGTCAGTGCAGAACTCTGATTTTGTTAGTTCCTAAACAACTCACTGATGCATCTGCGATGAAGAAAACATAACAGTCACACAGGCCCGACACGCAGGATCTGCACTTCCTTCGCAGACAGATGGACCAGGATGCCTGGTTATGATCAGGAAGTTGCCGTATGCATAAGAAGCGGAATGGACATGTTTGTACTTGTCAGGAGGTGTTCGCCTCTCAGATTTTATTTTCATTTAACATTTCTGTAGCATCAGCTTCCAGCCATGAACAGTTTCGGCTTTTTGTGCGTAGAGAGTCCTTGCCACAACTCGGTAAAGCTGTGTATTGATATTGCCACTTGCACGCAGGGAGCGCCAGGGCCAGACAGGCTGTGCCCTGCCCAGGTCACTAGACAGGAAATGGCAGAACTTGACAGGAAGTGGTGGAGCTGTGACAGCAAATGGCGGAGCTGTGTTCTGATCTAGGCAGTTGGCTTCTGGGACCACAGGTGCAGAGAGCCGGGGCACAGCAGGACACAGTGGAGCCTGTGGCTGTGGTGGGGACTGCCGTCACACTCGAGGTCGTGGGGCTTTCAGAGTATTCTCTCAGGGAAGCCTAGTAGGGTGGGGGGCTGCGCAGGGGCAGAGTGACCAGTCCCTTCCTCGAATTCCCAGGTAACTTTGTCTCCGCAGTCGTCCCCCTCCTCACCCCACTGTGGGGGCTAACAGCGTTCTCTTCCCTAGCGGACAAGCCCCTCTGTGAGCCTTCCTCTTCCGCCCAGTGCACGCACACAGAAGCTTCTAGAAACACGTTGATGACGACACTTGTCTCCTGTAGTGTCCTGGCTATGCAGCAGGCTCTGCTTTAGATCAAGCAGGAAACTGGCAGCCTCCCTCCCCACTGCTCTTCCTCCTGTGCTCCCCTGAGAGGCAGCCCGTGACCCATCCTACTTGACCTCTCCCGATGCATGTGTCAGGTTGGCTGTTTTGGTGCGAGGGTAGTGATTGTGTTTGTACTGAACTTTAGGCGTCTTCAGTTTTCAAAGAGGCTTTTGCAGTAATTGTATAAGGCCAAGGATTTCAACTGATTGAGGATTAAGTATCGGGTATTCTGTGTTTGGGAGTCCTAGGCTGGGAAATTTGTTCAGGTTACATAAAGAGAGGGAGGGAAGGAAGGGACAGAGAGGGAAAGGGGGTGTAAAACACTCATCAAAAATATTAACCATGAATTGGAAAGTAAGAACAAATATCAAGTCTCTCTAGCTGAACTGGTGACAGTGATGATGCCTGTACTTTTCAAACTCATACCACGTGACCAGAGCTTGTTCTGTTTTTTCTTCATGGCAGTTTATGAGGTGGAATATTGTTATCTGTATTTTACTGAAATTTGGAGGCAGTAAATAATCTATGTATTAACAAAGAAGTGAGGAACTCAGGATTCAAATTCTTAGGTGTGACTCAGCCAGTGTACTCGCTTAGAAAGAATTATTTTTGGAAACGAGACACTTCAGCATCTCAAGGAAGAGGAGTTCCAGGCCACGTGCTAGGATTACAGTTTCCTTCCAAGCTGAGTCATATACAGGTCTTGAACAGATCATGGATGGTCTCCCAGAGGACACAGGCTCAGGATCACGTAGGTGTCTTTGTGTACAAATAACAGAGGCCCCATGCCAGGGGCCCACAGTATCGTTGTAAAGAACTGAGTTCAAGCAGGTGTGGTGGTGCACATCTGTAAGCCCAGCTACTCAGGAGGCTGAGGGAGGACGATTGCAAGTTTGAGGCTACTCTGAGCAACTTAGTGAGGCTGTGTCCAGAGAGAGAAATGAGTAAGTAGATGGGGCGGGGTGTGTGGGTCAGTGGCAGACGGCTTTGCATAGCATGCACCGGGCCCTTACTTAATCCCTATTACTGAAAAAATAGGAGAGAGTGGGGGAGAGAGAAACAAGAGTGGAGTTTACAAATATCCTGATGGCTTATACAATGCCAGCCTCCATGCTAGAGATGCCACACTAGCTCATCTAGTTTTAACAGTTCTGTGAAACACGCTTTACTGTAGAAGAAACCAAGGCTTGGAGAGGCTACATTAGTTGTGTATGAGCAAACTCCTAGGTCCGAATCCAGCTCTTTGTGTATTTAGAGCTTTCCCATGCGAGGCTAGACTGGACTTTGTGGGCCAGTATCCGTCTAATCTTGGAAGCAACAGTTCCTTGGGTCTGGCTTTCCTTGTGTGTACAAATGAATGAGTTGATCCTCTTTTCACATGCTTATTGGCGGCTTGCACATTTTATTTGAAGAAATGTGCGTTGAAATACTTTGTCTACTTTAAATTGGATTATTTATCTTTATGTATTCAGTTGCGAGGGTTGAGTCCTATATACATTCTGGACGCTGGTCCCTTATCAGTACATGTTTTCTGGGTTGTTGTTCCATTATCTTGATGGTATTGTTTTAGCACAAAAGCTTTCCATTTTTAGAAAGTCCAGTTTATCCATGTTTCCTCTTATTGCTTCTGCTTTTGGTGTTGGAGTTTAGAAAATAGTACATAACTCAAGGCAATATTTACTCTCTATTTTCCTCAGGAGTTTTATAGATTAAGCTGTTTGCTCCATTTAGATGTATGATTCATTTTGAGTTCATGTTTTTTTTTTTGTAGTTGTTGTTTGTTTGGTACCGGGAATTGAACTCACAACCTTGCACTTGCCAGGCAGGTGCCGTGCCACTGAGCTACACCCTCCGCCCTGAGTCCATGTATTTTATAATGTGAGATAGAGGTCCAACTGTACGGCTTATATCTAGATGTCCCCCAAAGCCTAATGCACTCATAGGTGGGGCTTTGTGGAGGTGGCTAGATCTAGGGTGTTCAGATATGGATTAAGGGTGTGCAATAATTACATTAGTTTACTGGTTGGTTAAGCATAGTTTTGAGTGTGGATAATGGGAAAGCCCACCCTGGCTGTGAGTGGCACCATCCAACAGACTTGGAGTGTGAGTGGAACAAAAGAGAAAGGGAGGCTTGATGCCACTTCTTTCTGTCTGCCCCGCCATGGACTGTTTCCTCTCTGCCACGCTTCCCTGCCGTGGAGCCAGCCAACTATGGACTGGAACCTCCACAGACTGTGAGCTACAGTAAATCTTTCCTTTCCTCCTTTAACTTTGTCCCAGCAACGAGAAAATAACTAAGACACTACCTTCATTTTTTTTGGACATTCAATTGTCCCAGAACCATTTGTTGAAAAGACTTATTTTTTGCCTATTGAATATCATTAGTCACTGGGGAAATGCAAATGAAAACCACAGTGAGATAGTACATTACACCCAATTGGAAAATAACAAGTGTTGGCAAGGATGTGGAGAAATCAGAGCTCTTGTATGTTGTTGGTGGAATGTAAAATGGTGTGGCTACTTTGGAAATAGTTTGAGTCCTCAAAAACAAATGGCTCCTTCATGACAGAACTCCTAGGTATATATCCAAGAGAAATGAATATACCTCCATATACATCTTATATATAACTGCTCGGAGCAACAGTGTTCTGAACAACCAAATATTAGAAATAACTCAAGTGTGTATGCATTGGTAAATAGAATGTGGTGATCAATACAACAGGATATTACTTGATGCAACAAAAGAATGAAGTAGCTGATACATGCTACAGCACAGATGAACTTTGAGAACATACACTGGGGGAAACTAGCCAAAGATCATATATTGTATCATTGAGTTTATGTGAAACGTCTAGAATAGGAATGAATAAGAAAAAGTAGATTACTGGCTGCCTACTGTTGTGTAGTGAATGAATTCCAAGGGGTAGGAGATATAATTTCAGGATGGGGTGGAGGATGAACAGCAAAACGTTGCAGAATTGGATAGTGGCAAGGGCTTCACAACCCTGTGTCTATAGTAAAGAAGGCAAAGTACATACTTGAAATGAGTGAATTGCATGGTATCTGAATTAAATGCCGATAGAACTGTTTAAAAGAGTGATCAAGTTGTACCAGAAAGCCAAGTCACTTTTAGCTCCTAGATTCTTTAGACCTCTGCTTCCTTAGTGTCCAAGTTCAGATGATAGGGTTCCAAGCTGGATTTGATATCAAAATGCACTTGTCTTGGTCTCTGTTGACTGTTTGAATAAAATATCATAGCGAGCGTATCTTATACAGGACAGAAGTTTATTTCTGTCAATTCTGGAGGTTTCACTGTAAGAATTGGGTGGGGGGCAGAGTGCATCAATATTTAGTCTATAGCAATAATGCTTTTTTTTGCTTTCAAGTACATTTGAAGAAGTAATATGTAGTATTTCTGTTAGTAGTACTTTGTTCCATTACTTTATTATTTCAATTTTATAATGCTGAGACTGGTAATTAAACCAAGCTTAATTGCATACAAGATTGACTTTAGGTGACTGTGTGGTCAACCTCTGGAAACACCTGTCAAATCCAAGGCCTAGGCTTATCACCTAAGGTACAAGAAACACACACACACACACACACACACACACACACACACACAGAGCTTCAGAGCATTTGTTTTTCCTTCTTAGAGCACATTTCTATTTTGTACATGATTTTATCCCCATGAACATGCAGTAGTTGCTCATTAAACTCAGCCAAGAGCCAGAAGCATTTTAAAGTGAGGCATTTGACTAACCTCCCTTGAAACTGAAGCATTCAAGTCAGAGAGGGAGGCCGTGTGAA